CCCCAGTCCTTCCCGGAAGGCAGATTCGGCTTCCCTGCATCTTAACTTGTTGAGGATAGTTTTTTCTCCACCGCCAGGCTTCGTAGGGCCCTGGGAACCCCCAGGAGAAAGGGGGAAGGAGGGGCAGGGAAGGTGTGTGGGGAGGTCCAGGGAGGGAGGCGGGCACAGCGATGGAGTCGGGCCGCGCCCCTGAGCAGAAGGGAGGGCAGGGTGGTGTCCCAGTTCTGGTGCTGGCTCGCCATGGAGGTGCCTGCTGTCCTCATCTGTATTACGGGGAGAGCCAGACGGTCTCTGGGGCTCCCCAGAACCTGAGAGGGCCCACGTCCGGGTCAGGAGCCGAGACGGTTCGAGCGCATCATGCTGTGGCAAGGCCTCGCCAGTCACTTGCCAGGGCCCAAGCTCCGTGCTGTCCCCAGGCAAACCAGGGTCAGGGGTGCTGGCCCATCTCCAAATCGTCCATCGGTTTGCGCGGACGCAGCCAAGGTCACAGCAGACCCGGCCGGGTGAGGCCCTGTGCCAGTCAGGCGGGCCGCGGGGTCCTCATTCAGAAACACAGCTCTCCCACCGCCACCCCCAGCCCCCGTGGCCCCTCAGCTCTCAAGGGGGCATTCAAGGCCTTCGTGGTTTCCTCTCCCACCTCGTTCCCCCAGCCCCACACAGACTCCGCGAAGCCACCCCACTGCCTCTGCCTGTGCTCTTCCCTCCGCCGCTGGGACACCTGACCGGGGCCCCCTCTGGCTGTTGGAATTTACTTGCTCCTCAAGGTCCAGCTCGCTGACCACCTCCTCCAGAAGCCGGTGCAGGCACTGGGGCACCGGAGCACACATCAACAGGTCCTTTTCCTTCCCAGAGTTCCTTGATATGAGTCATTTTGTAGTTAGTGATTCATACCTTGGGCTGGGCTTTCAGTCATTCCTGTAATACCTTGTGTCTGGTTGATGCCAAGCACTGATGGCGCCGGGGGCTCAGGGTGGGGACACAGAGACGAATGACAGGCCCTGCCCCTCACTCCCAAATGCCTCGTTCACTGCCTGGCCTGGATCTCCCATTTACTGAGTTGAGGACCAAACTGCCAGCCGCAGGAGGCATAACCCTGCTCGTGGGGTGGCGCCCGGGGCCGGGAGGGCTCAGCAGATGCACAGACATCTGAATGGAGCAGCGCTAAGACACAGCACGTCAGGGGCCAGGTGTTAGCCCAGACACAGAGCAGCTACTTTTTCCTACGGAGCCTGGCAGGCGCGTACCCGGCCAGAGCCCTCCCCGCAGCGCGCCAGGCCACGGAAACATGGCAAGCAGACGTCCGGCAGCCGGACTTGGCTGCAGGCTCTGTCCTCAGACGTGTTCCTCAGGCCGTGCCCGCTCCTGGCGAGGGCCAGCGCCCGCCACCTAGGGATGCGGGAAGGCCTGTGGGGTGCCCGGTGCGGAGAGGCAGAGGCGGGGGGCGGCAGGGGGTTGGGAAGGTGCTGGGACCCACAGGCTCAGCCCCTGAGCGTGGACGACCTTGAGTGAGCCCCCAGCTTCGTCATGGCCTGGAGGCAAGAACCTGGCCCTTAAGGCACGATCACGGGGGTGTGCAAATGTCTGCTAGGAAATCCTCAGTGGTGACCTTGCCACCACCCCCCTCACTGGTGTGGGCTCACGGCCTTCACTTACATCTCCTTGGGAATGCGGCCGCTGCTCCCTTCCCCTCCCCTGCACCCCCAGCCCTCCTGTCCGGGGCGCAGCCTGCTGCAGAGCCGCCGGCGGCCACACGGCGGCACTGCGGGAGCTCGGCGCCGGGCTGGCCGGTGCTGGGCGGGCGCACAGGGCCCCAGGCCGCGTCCTGGGCTGCAGCTCCTCACCCGGCCTGCTCTCGGCTCCGGGAGGCTGCAGCCTGAGGCCTGGCTGGGTTGCGCTCTTCCACTGGACGCTCTCTCCCCCAGGGTGACGTTAATCCGAGGTTCTGGTGCCACTGGGCTCCTCAAACCCACCCTGGTCCATCCGAGGGTCTCCCCAACGGTCTGGGGGAGCCTCACTTTCTTCCATCTAGAAGACGCCAGGTTCCTCTTGCGAATCCTTCCCTCTTTCCCCCTGGATAACAGGCTGTCTGTCTGTCCATGTCCCCTAGCAGCCTGGACGTTCACTCAAGGACTTGCTGATGCTGGTCACCAACGAAAGGAAGTAGGGAAATTGCTGTGTGATTCCCATTTCTGACCTATGCCGCTTCCTCCCCAGCCTCCTCCCGACCCAGACTCCACACCCGGCCCTCCACAGAACTGCAGCCCCGGGCTGCCCCCCCACCCCCATTTCCCAGATGAGGACCTGAGGCAGGCGATACCCGGGATTTCCCAGTGCCGGGCTGTGGAGAACTGGGAGCCATTCTCCTAACGGGGGCTCCTGCTCTGAGCCAGGGTGGGGGTTGTGAGGTGAGCCCACGGCCCACCGCCCTCTCCCTCCACACAGCCACAAGGGGGAGGGAGATGGTGATGAAGGCGTGACCGCCCCCCTTAGGGCCGGGATCTGCCTCCACGGGCTGTGACCTTGCAACGGCGCAGAGACAGGCGCTGGGGGCAGGAGGAAGGGACACGGCTGGGTTCAAGGGTTCAACTGCGAGTCTGAGGTCTTTTGTTAACCAGTGTCCAGCCCTCCAAGGGGCTGAGAGTCCAGGGGCAGGGAGGGGGGGAATAGGCTTCTGGAAGTCTCCCTATGCAGTGGCCGGACTTGCAGATGCCCACCCCCCCAGGGCCCTGCTACAAATGGCCGGCCAGGAAGGGGGGCCCCTCCAGCCGCAGAGGAGGCCACCAGCCGGGACCCGCATGGCCGCAGGCGGCTGCAGGGGCTGCAGACAGGAAGGTCTCGCTGCGGGGAGTGAGTAGCCCCTCCCGCGTCCGCGAGGCCGGAGAAGCACTGAGAAGCACCGGGCTGGAGACCAGGCCTCTCCTCCGGGTCCCGCCCCCCCCCCCGGCCGCGCCCCTCCACGCGCCCCCCGCCGCGCCCCCTCGGCTCCAGCTGGGCCTCGGCCCGTCGCCGGCACCCGGCCGCAGCTGGAACCCATTACGCCCCCAGCGCCTCTCGGGACGTCTCGGCTAATAAGTGACCCTCTGTGAATGTTAGGAATGAGTCAAGTTTATGCCTCGCCGCTGCCTTCCCGTTAGCGGGTGGCGCCTCGGACGCCCGAGGGAGCGGGGAGGGCGGGGAGGGCGACGGGGGCCTCGGAGGGAGGGCTTCCTGGAGGTCACGCTCCTTGCCGCGGGGCGGGGGGCGGCTCTCGCTACCCCGCTGAGCCTCAGTTTCCCCGCGTGCAAAGAAAGGGTTCAGGGCACACAATGGCCGAGCCCTAGGACAGGAGGGGCGGTTGATGGTCTTGGCACCCGTTCCTCGTTCCTCGCTTGGCCCGGAAAGGGAAGCAGCCACATCGTCCCCTGCCCCTAAGGCAGGCTGCTCACCTCCCAGCCCGGCACTGCTGCATCTGGGGCAGTGCTGGGTGAGGATGCCTCCCCGAGGCTCCCCGGCTGACTCGGATCCAAACACCTCGGACAAGCACGGCTCCGGCCTGAAGAAGGGCTGGTCCCCCCGTGAACCAGAACTGGGGCTCTCACAGCAGCCTGAGGGCAGCAGAAGTCAGTCCCCGGCATTTGCTCAGTGGCTGCCCAGCAGCTGGGCTGCTGTTGGGGACCAGAGCGGGGCCTTACCAGGTGTCCCTTGGGAGCCCAGGTCTTGGGGTGACTCTTGGCACGTCCTGATGGAAGAGGCCTGTGTCTGGGGAGAATTCGAGGCAGCGTGTGCTGATCTCAGGAAGAGAGAACGTGGGGGACGGGGGGGGCAGGGGAGGAGGTACCAGGGCAGAGGCTGGGCAGGGCAGGGGTGCACCCAGGAAGCCCCCCAGCCAGGCCCTGAGGCTCAGAGCCAGGTGGGCGAGACTAAACCTGAAGGTCTTCGGGGAGAGCTGAGGGGAGCCCAGAGGAGGGAGGGGCAGGCAGAGGGAGGCTGCTCCGTGGTCACTCACCAGGGTCCCCGGCTGGGAGCTGGAGGAAGGCGGAGTCTGGGGACACAGTGATGAATCTGAGAGGTCTGGGGACAGGGCGGGGGGGGGGGTGTCGGAGAACCTGGCTGGCAGCCCTGGAGAGTCGTGGGGAGCAGACATCTGTCTCCAGGACCCCTGGGAAGCGTCCGGTCACCTTGTCACATCAAGGCTTCTCACATCCACAGTGAAGTGCTGATTTGCAGGCCCCTGAACACCCTTCCCATGGCCGGTGCCACAATTAGATGTGACAAGAAGGGCCCCATCCGGGCCTGCGGTCTAGAGGGCACCCCCAGGCCCTCCCCCAGCTCCGCCCCCCCCACGACGCAGAGTCCCCAGGGCCAAGGCAGCGTGCCGGCTCGGAGCCTGGACCTCAGCACCAGCCGCTGGGCCCCAGGACCCCGGGATTTCCTGCCCACTTCCAGGCCTGGTCAGACCTCTCCCACGGCGCTCGCGGCTCCAGCCTGGCCAGGAGGGAGGGCCGTCCTCACTCCCTCCCACAGCCCACTGCTCGGCTCCCACCCTGCCCTCTCCCAGGGCCCACTGGTCCCCTTTCTGGTGGACAGGGTGAAGCCCCAGGCAGCTGGCCACGTCCCGGAGGGAGGGGGATGGGTGGTCCCAGGTCCTTAGCAGTCACTAATCCCTCCCCGCAACCGGGCGGTGAAGGTGGAGACTGTGGGCCAGGCCGGCGGCACGTTGCATCCTGTGGGCCAGAGCAAGGGCACCTGCCTCCTGGCACCCTGCAGAGGTCCACTGGGAACACCCAGCCCAGCCCTCCCGGAGGTGGAGCAGGGCCGGAGGGCAGCACACAGTGACCACCGAGGCCCAGGGCACTGCCAGGGCAGGGAGGTGTGCTCTGGATGCGAGCCTCGCCCAGGCCTCTCCGGGCCACCTTGCTGCCGCCCTGGGGGACCCCTGCTGGAGCACCCACTAACTCCCCTGGGCTCCTAGGGGGTAGTTGGCAGCTGTCCAGGAAACTGCCAGCCCCAGGTGTCCCCAGATGGCTGTTTTGCAGAGGCTGGAGGACACCATCTTGAGTCCCATGGCCAGCAGAGAGGACCGGACGCTGACTGTGCGTGGGGAAGGCTGGCCGGCTTGGCCCACCCCTGTGCCTGCCCGAATCCGCGAGATTGTGGCTGGCAGCCTGAGGGATGAACCACACCGAGGTGACCGGAGGCGGCAGGGGTGACGATGGGGGTGGGGGTGGGCATCGGGGGAGCCACAGAGCCCTCAGCTGGAGTCTAGCTCAGTGTACCCAGATGCCATCATCTTTCAGTGTGATGGGGCACAGGCCACGCCCTCCCACGGGGTCAGCCACGGGGCCGTGTGTCCATCCCCACGGTGTGCTTACGGCTAGCCCGCAAGGACTGTCCCGTGCAGCATTTGTGTTTGTGACATGTTCGTGACCACCACTCTGGATTCCATCCATATTTGTTCTGCATTAGATGAGTGAAAGTCCTGAAAGCTGACCCTCAGGAAGCACAGATGCTGAGGCCCCCCCCTCCCCCCCACCTGTGCTCACCCAGCCTAGGGCCCCCTTGGGCCAGCGCTTTGCAGTGGAGGAACTGGCTCCAGGGTCCCCGCGCCAAGGCCACCCAACTGGTCAGGCCACGTGGCCCTCACTAGTGCTGGCGACTCCGTGGCACGCGGGTCCCAGGACCCCTGTCCACAGCAGGGGTCTGTCCAGCTCCCACGGGAGCCAGGAGCCCCCCGGGTGAGTGTTGAGGAAAAAGAAACGCCACTGTGCGCTTAGAACAGCAACTTCCTACGCGGATGAGAACCCGTCACCCCCCATCGGGGGATGGGAGACCCGCCTGCGGGCCTCGCCCACACCCTCGCTTTAGTCGGTTCGGGGCTGTACTGGGGTCAAAGACATAAGAGGTAGGGGGTCGGCAGCACGCCTGCCCACCGGACAGGGAGGGAGGCCTCGAGCATGAAGTCCACGTCCCCCACACCGGGTCCCCCGGGTCAGAACTGGGACCCCTCCTGGAAGGTGGGGGCCGGCCAGCAGTGAGCGCCCAGTGGCCGACCCGCAGCCCCACCGTGGGGACGGGGCGCCGTGGCTGGGGAAGTGGGGGACCCGGTCTGGCCCCCGGGGCTGACCCTGGCGCTGCACCTGCGCAGGGCTGCGGGCGCCGCCGGCAGCGCCCGCAGGGGTGCAGGAGGAGAACGAGCTTCTGCAGGAGGAGCTGACGCGGCTGGAGGGCGAGCTGGCCGGCAGGCACCACGCGGCCAGTGAGCGGGTGAGGGTCAGCTCGGTGGGACCACTGCCGGGTCTCAGGCCAGAGGGAGACTGCATCAGCCCCCGGCACAAACGGCAGGTGGGAAGACAGGCTGGAGGCGGGAGGGTGAGAACAGGAAGGGGGTCCAGGCCTGCCTGTCCCCGAAAGTCTCCCCCAGATGTCACAGCCCAGCTTAGGACACTGACCACCCGGGAGCTTTGTGGGGGCAGCTGGTCAGTCCTGAGCCCTCAGCCCCAGCGCCTCCCCTTCGGGGTCTGCTGAGGAGCTGGCCCCACCCCCAGACAGGGCTTCTAGAGAATTGGCCCGGCCCCCCACCTCTGCCTTTTCCTGAAAGCCGAGGCCAGCACAGACCTCAGAGGACAGCTGTGACCCCCGGGTCCTCCGTCCTTGGTCCCCTGGGCATCCACAATGCCTTCAGCGCAAGAGGCCACTTGGTTATAGAGTGTGGAGGTGGGGAGGGCCTCCTGTTGAGTAGATGGGGAAACCGCGGCGGAAAGGTGAAGAAACTTGCCAGGCCAGACCCTCTGTCCGGTGTCGGCCACCCCGAGCCTGATGGCCCCTGAGGCAGGGCCGGGCTGGGGAGGCTGGGTGGGGTGCTCAGGGCCCCTGGCTCGCCTGGCTCAGCCCCACCCCTGCCATCCTCAGAGTCCTCCTTGCCCTACATGGCGGGATAGATGACCCCACTTTCCAGATGTGCAAACCGAGGCTCAGAGCAGGCCAGAGCTGCCCAGGGCCTTGCTGCCAGTGTTGGAGCCGAGACCTAACCAGGGTCCAGCCCTCTCTCCAGCATGACCAGTGACCCGTGGCAACTGCCCAAGGGCCCCAGGCTGGCCTCATGTCCTCGAGGGTATGGGGGGCTGCGAGAAATAGATGGCATCCCCAGCCCCCAGCTGACCCCCCCACTGCTGCCCCCATCCCTAGTGAGGCCCTCGGGCAGGACCACTCGGGGCCTCCTCACCCCCGTCAGGGCCAAGGGCACATCAGTGAGCTCGCCTGCCCTCCCCGGCGGCCTGTGGCCTCGGCCCAGTGCTGGGGGTGGGGGCCCTTCCTAGCACAGGGTGGGGAGATGTTGGGAACCGGCGGTGGGAATAGAAGCCAGAAACCCTGCGGACAGATTAGTAAGCTCCTGAGTCAGAGCCGAACTCCCAGGCCCCGCGGCTCAGCACACGTGTCAGGCTCCCACCGGCGTCTCAGCCTCCCCTTGGGCGGGCACCAGCGGGGGCCAGCCCCCCCCACGTTACCCCCAAGCAGATGAGGGGGTGGGGTGGGAGTCAGGGTGGCCAGTGTGACTGCTTGGTGGGCACCTCCATTCCAGCTGGCATCCCCAGCCCCTGCCCCGGCCTCCTGGCTCCACTGGGCTCTCTGAGCCCCACCCCCACCCCCCCATCCTGCTGGGGGCCCCCCGGCTCTCTGCTCTTCCCGGATCTCAGCCCCCACCAGCCTGCCTGCCCGGACGCTCCCCCCGGTGTGCTCTGGGTCAGCACACGTGGGGACGCCCCCAGCACCCCTTTCCCCCTTGGAGCTCCAGGGCTCCTGTGTGCTCAGGCCCCGGCAGGGAGCCGGGAGGGATGCAGGTTCTGGGCAGGCCTGGCGCAGCCTGGACGACTCCCCTCCCCACCAGGCCACTCGCCGTGGAGGCACCGGGAGCAGATTCCAGCACAGGCGGTGGGCACGGCTGGAGGGGGGGCCCCACATTCACTGTCCCTTAGGGGGTGACCCCAGGCCCGCTCTGCCATCCAGTCATCGCGCCTGCCCTTTACGAACCAGGCCCTGAGGCTCCACCTCAGCCAACCACAGGCGCTGGGCACGCGGTCAGGGCGCGAGCGGCCGCCCATCTGACCTACTGTGAGGAGGGGCCCGAGCGTCAGTAGGCCCGGCCACACCAGCCCCCCATCCCTGCTGGGGCCTGAGGGGGGCCTCTGTCCCACCCGGGGGGGCCGGTGCCGCCGCTGCCTGCCCGGCGGTGAGGTGGGCACCATCCCCCTCCAGCTGCAGGCCCGTCTGGAGCGCACGGAGGCCCGGCTGCGGAGGTCGGAGCTGGAGCACAGCGTAGACCTAGGGGAGGCCCTGGGCCGCGTGGAGGCCGCTGAGCAGAGGTGAGCTGGACGCACGCGGCAGTCAGGGCCACAGGGACCTCGGCCGGTGCCCCCAGAGGCAGCCGACCCCACTGTGCCTTGGGGCTGCCGGCCCCTCTTCCCAGAGTGGCTCCAAGTCAAGTCTGCCTGTAGGTGCTGGCCGCAGGCGTGGAGCGGACAGAGCAGGGTGGGCAGGGTGTGGGGCGCGGGTCCCCCAGCCCTGCTGTCCCACGTCTGCCTCCTCCAGGCCCCGGCCGCCGGCCAGGTCCCCCGAGCTGACTGCGGCCCGTGGTTGGCACAGACAGTCCTGGGGCCCCCGTGGTGCTGCCCTCGACCACACCCTTCTTCACACTCTGGCCCCGACTCCCAGGCCGCTTTGGCTCCAGGCCACTCTGGCTTCACGGTCAGGGGCTCGTCCGTTCACTGTCAGCAAGCATGGGTCATGGCCTGGCACCCCCAGGGGTACCCGCAGCCCCCTGGCTCCAGGACACCACCCCCGGAAGGCAAGGACAGGTCTGAGCCCCAAGCCCGATCCCCAGCACAGCTGCCGGTCCACACCTGGGGGAGGTCAGGAAGTTTGCGCAGCGCTTCCCGTTGCTTGGGGCTCTGGAAAAAGAAGGAAAGTGCTGGGAAGCATTTTGCAAACCAGTTTTTCAGAAACAGCGGGAGGGGAGGAGGGGGCTAAGAGCCCAAGAGGAGGTGATGCCTGAGCTGCAGAGAGGGGCAGAGAAGGTCTCTGCTGTGGCCTGAGCCTGGCTGGGAGGGCTGGCTCTGGGGGGCTGGTCGGTGGAGAAAGGCCCCCACGGTAACAGGGGCGCTGCAGCCTTCACGGATGGGGCGCGTGCCTGGCTCCCCCTCTGCGCTGCCCTGCCCCTTCCTCCCAGGCTGTCCCCTCAGCTCCCAGCGCTGCCCCTCTGAGCAGCTTGAGGGCCCCCCCTGCACCCGGGATGGAGCCGGCCAAGGCTGAGGGCGTGGCCGGGAGAGCTCCGTGGTGTGGCCGGGAGCAGGGGCCGGCGTGGAACTCAGAAATGGCCCCAGCGTGGGGAGCCATCGGGGGCCATTGCAGGCTGTCAGTGCAGCCTGGGAGCGGCTGAGGCCTTCGCGCCTGAGCGGGGCCGCCGGGTCTCGGGGAGCCTTTCTGAGAAGCCCCCGCCCGTGGCCGAGCCACGGTGGTGTCTGCCCATCCAGGAGCACGGGACTGTCCCAGGTGAACGCGCTTCTGCGGGAACAGCTGGGCCACATGAAGAAGGCCCACGACACGCTGGCGGCGGAGCTGGCCAGGACGGCGGACAGCGTGCTCCACCCCGGGGGGACCCCGCAGCCGGCGGAGGCGCGGCGCCGGGCAGACCGACAGGTGCCCTCCCTGCTTCTGCCCGGCGGCAGGGGGCAGGCAGTGGGACAGGGTGGGCGGGCCCTGGCTGTGGTCTCCCCCCGGGGCACGGCCTCTGACCTCCGGCCACACGGAGCTGGGCGCCCAGCTGGCCGGGGTGGGGAGGCGAGCGCAGGGAGGCCCTTCCCTGAGGAGAGCAGAGTAGCCCTGCCCCAATCTTGAGAGACAGGGTGCTCTCCACGGCCCGACTTGCCACGTCCTGACTGCAGAGGTGGGGCCGCCCGTCGCCGCAGCCCCCGGCCAGGGCCAGCAGGGCCCCCGAGGCCTTGCCCCATCACAGTTTTCTGAGCCCCTAAGTTCCTCGGGAGTCAGGGCGCCGTGCGAGCGGGGCCGATGCTGGAGACGCACGGGTGTCCCCACCGCGAGGCAGGTGAGCACTGAGTGAAGAGGCGCTCGTGCTCTGACGCATCACTGGCCCCGGGCCCCGGACAGGGGCGCGGCCGGGGGGCAAGGCAGCCTCTGCAGCGGGGGCCCTCCCTGCAGGGGTGCACGTGTCCCCGCAGCCTTCCCACTGTCCTCTGCCGGCGCCACTGACGGGTTCCTCCCAGACGCTGCCTGGAAAACGGCCTCCTCCAGGGAAGGCAGAGGCCGAGGGGGTCCCTGCGGCCTGGGCCTCGGGCTGACCCTGCACAGACATCCCTCAGCAAGCCCGGCGGCCCCTGCGCCCCCACCCGGGGCAGGTGGCGGGCTCGGCCCCTGCGCCCCGCCCTCTGTGGCTGCTCTTCCCATCAGAGGCCAGCTGGGCCCTCCTGCTGCGGGAAGGGGAGACACCAGGCAGGCCGCCCAAGGTGTGACAGAGGGGGTGTCACTCAGAGGGCCACGTCCATCATCGGGGGGTGGGGGGAGGTAATGGCAGGGGGCGTGTTTGAGGCATCCCCCCTCCTCCCACGGCCAGGCTTGTGCCGCTGGGTGGAAACAAGGGCCCTGGATGATGGGTCTCAAGTTCGGTTGGGCACTGGCTTCTCGGGGGTCTTTATTTCCCCCTCGTCCTTGAAAGGAAGGCTCACTGGTTGGCAGGTGTTTTCTCTCAGTACCGTGAAGACCCTTCTCTGTCTCCGGCCTCCGTGGCTGCCCAGCGCTCAGCCCCCCCGTGCCCCTGACCCCGGCGGGCTCCTCGCACAGGCGACCTGCCCTCTCCCCTGGTGGCTCGAAGACCCTGCTTTGACTTTGCTGCCAGCGTGCAGATTTGTTTTTGTTTATCCTGCCTCGGACTCACCAGGGTTCTGTGTCTTCCGCTGATTTTGGGAGGTAGCCCTTCCCTCTCAGCCCTGCCTGTGTCCACGCTCTCGCCCTCCCCCCCACTTGGTGCCTCTGTCCGCGTCTGAGCCTTCGCGTCTGCTTTCTCTGTGTCACCCTGGTTTACATTCGAGATAAGTTCTTCAGATATACCTCCCTGCTCCGCAAGTTTGTCTTTGGTGTCCAATTTCTGTGACGCTTGCCTGCTTTGCTTAAATTCCAAATATCGTGTTGCATCTTTAAGAATTCTGGTTGATTCTTTTCCAGATATCTCACTCTTAACTCACGTGTTCAAGCTCCTCGTTTACTTGCTGGTGCAAATTAAATAGTCATGTTCTACGCTCTCTCTGATGTTCTGACGTCCAAGTTCTTTAAGGTCCAATTCTATTGCTCTTGATCATAGTGCTGTTTCTTTGTGTCTTTAGTGATTTAGAAAAATTTTTTAAACCAAAAGCTGCTTGTTTTTCTTGGAACTTTGTGAAAGTTCTTTGAAACCTGGAGTGGACATGGTGTCTTCCAGAAAGGATTTTCGTTCATTCCTGACAGGCACCCAGGGCTCTAACAGTCTTTGGAGCTGTTAGAATTGAAGCAAGTTTTCAGCCTGAGTTTTTTTTAAACCACCCAGGTTATGTGAATTCAGGCGGCATAGAGGCTGCTGTGTGGCTCCAAATCCAGAGGAACGATTTTTCTCCTTCAGGTCTTACCATCCAGGCTGTGTCACAGAACACCACAGACGGGGCGGGGCGGGGGGTTACGTTACACGCTCCTCTCTCACCGCTCTGGAGGCAGGAAGTCCACGACCGAGCCACGAGACCATTCAGTGGGTGGTGCTCCCCGGGTCACAGACGGCACCTGTGCGCCTTCCACACGCAGGGGGCGAGGGGGAGCTCTCTGGGGCCCTTTTATAAGGGCACTGACTCCATCATGAATGAGGGTGGCGCCTGAGAGCCCACCTCCGAGGACAGTCCCAGCACTGGGACTTTTAGGGACACAAATCCTCCCGCTGTGCCTCCTCACAGTGCCCTGCGGACAGGGCTGTGAGCACGTGCGTGTGTGGATGTGTGCACGTGTGTGTCCCCACCCTGGCACCCCTACAGAGAGACCTCACTCATGAGTGTGGGCACACTGCCCCTTTGGACGGGCCACAGGCTTTCCTCTGCGTCCCCTGAGCCCCTGTGGTCCAGGAAGCAAGTTCAAGTTGCTCAGTTTGGCAAGAGCCCGGTTGCTGATGTTCCTCTCGAGTTCCTGACCTCGCCGGTTCCTGGCCTCAGTGCTCCCAGCACGTGGGCCGGTGCTCCCTACGTGCGGGCCGGCCCCGCCTGCCTGAGTGCTCCCAGCGCGTGGCCGGGGCCGCCAGCACGTGGGCCGCCCCGCCTGCGCTCGGGAAGCTGTCAAGTGTGCAGTCGGATGCAGTACCGGGCAGGCCCGTCCAGCCGCCTGCTCCTCTGCGTCACCGGGGCCATGTCTGGTCCCTGCTCTTTGCGGACCCCGATGGGGCTTGGGAGGCGCAGTGCGAGTGCACAGAGGACCCGGCCCCAGGCACGGAGGGGCTTTCCCTGCAGAAGAAGGGGGCTCCGTGGGGGGACCTCAGAGGTGGGGTCAGGGCGGGCGGTCAGCAGAGGCTCCATGAAGGACGGAGAGGGCGTGGGTCTTGAGGGCTGGCGGAAGGTGAGGCAGCGCAGGAGGGGCTGCGCCGTGACAGGCGGGGGCAGAGGGAGTGTGGACAGCGCTGGGCACGCGGTCCGCTCTCCGCAGGCCCCAGAGGCCAGCGCTCAGGACACAGCCCAGGGAGCAGGGGCAGGGAGGCCGGTGTGGAGACCCAGGACCCCTGGGCTTCAGCTCAGTTCCCTGAAAGGCTGGTGCCGCCGGCCACACACGGCTCTGTCCCGTTCCTGCCCCCCAGTCCCCCGACCCCCCAGGCCTGCCGTGGCCTCCTGCCCCCCCCCACCCCTCGTTCTCCTCAGTTCACTCTGCCCCGTCTCAGCGGGCGGCTTCCCCGCTGCCTCCCCGTGAGCTCTGGGTAGAGGCTTCTGTGTTGTCCGGCGTGTTGCCCCCCCCCCCTCCCCGGAGCGCCAGCTGCTGTCCTGGTGCTGGAGGGGGAGGGGAAGCTTGTCCTCCTTGCCCCCGGCGCTGGGGGGGGGGGTGGGTGTTGAGGGCTGCCGAGGGCTCCCACCCCAGCAGGGAGACCAGCCTGGGCTGGAGCTGGGCGTGGCCCCCTCCCCAGGTCCGTGGGGTGGGGTGGGCAGTGAGCACCGCGCCCCGGAGCAGGGGGTGCGTTATTTGGGAAGAGGAGCCCGTGGGAAAGGGGCTGCAGGGTCGCGGACGATGTGGGTGTGCTCCCAACAGCAGACCTGGGGGAGGGGGTTGGGGAGAGGCCGTGGGGTCACAGGCTGCACTCGCCTCGCACGCCTCACACGCCTCGCGCACCTGAAGGGACTGAGCCTCTTGCTTGTAGGGCCGGCGCCCACGCTCGGGGGGGCCCGCGGACCTCCTCCCCCTGTGGACACAGGTCACCGCGCTCCGCGTGCAGCTGGCCGAGCTGCGCACAACCACCGAGAGGTAACGGCGTGGGGCCCCGGGCGGTGGGGGAGACGGGGCAGCAGCCAGGCCAGCAGGGGCTGCCGCAGAGGGGGGTCGACCGGGGGACCTTCAGGGGCCCTCAGACCCCTCTGGCACCTCATGCAGGTCCCACCCGGGAGCCCTGGGGTGCAAGTCAGCACCCCCATTCTCACGGGGGGAGGCTGAGGGTCAGAGAGTCCGTGTTCGGAACGAGGCAGGCAGCCTGCCCTGTGCGGCCCGGCCCGGCCCCTGCTCACCGTCCCCGGCTGTGGTGGGGGGACAGTGCTGGCCTGGTGGGGGGGGCTTCTCCTGAGCGTGGCAGGGGAGGGTGTGCCGTGGGTAGAGAGCGGCTGACGCCGGTCCCGAGGCTCAGTGGGGGCGCTGCTCCGGTCTCCCAGGGGACTCGCGGACCTGCGGGCGGAGGCGGCCAGGACAGCCGGGCGCCTGCAGACGGCCTGCCTGGACCTGGACGGGAGGCTGCGGCTGGCGGCCGGCAATGCAGCGGGCGCCCTGGAGCAGCGGCTACGGGCCCAGGTGCGGGAGACGCTGCAGCTGCAGGGCCGCTGGGACACAGAGAAGGCGGCGCTCCAGGCCAGGTGGGCGCTGGCGGCCCTGGGGGGGGGGGTGGCGGCCACGGGCTGACTCGGGCGTGCAGAGCTTCGCTGCCTGATCCGCGCTGGCACCCTGCCTTCCCCGCTGCCACTCACGGGCACGATCACCCTGCAGGCGGCACAGGGAGGGTCCCCGGGGCACGGGGCTCACGCGTCCCTTACGCACCCCCCCGAGGCTGAGGTACGGCTCCCTAATCCAGGGCTTGAGCAGACGCTGCCCGGCACGTCCGCCCTGTTCCCAGTGGGGACTGGCTGGTTCCCAGAAGGGGAACCTTCAGGCCTCAGCACATTTGCACAGATCTGGGCGCCTGCCCTGCGGTAGAGCAGGTAGGAAGCTGGAGGGGGGGGCTCCTGGAGTCTGTGAGGAAGCACACGAGGTCCTGGACACAGAGCCCACGTCTGGCTCAGAGACCTCTCGAGAGCAGCTTCAGCAGGAAATGGGGCACAGGCCCCGAGGGGAGGCCCCACCTGCCGCCCCGGGGCACAGCCCCACAGAATGAGGGGGCTGGGGTCCGCTTGGCCACGAACACCTGCCAGGCTGAGGGCAAGAGCCCTGCCCTGCCCTGCCCTCAGGGGCCCTGCTGAGCCAAGCGAACCGAACCCAGCCCCACGGGGGCACGGGGGCAGGACCCGGGGACGCCAGATGGCCCAGTGTGGCCGGGGCAGCGTGGCCGGGCCTGAGCGAGTACGCTGGGGCCACAGAGGGGAGACGCGGGTTGTCGAGAAGGTGTCTCCTGGGAAGAAAGGGACCTAACGTCAGCTGTGTTAGACTTACAGCGCTGGAGGCGAGCCGGGCCAAGGACCCAGAGGTGGCTGCTTGTACGGGCCGTGCCTGCAGGACAGGGGCAGGGTCTCAGGAAGCCACTGGCCACGAAGCTGGAGAGCGGAGTTGGGGGGGGCGCTCAAATGCTGAACTCTCATTCTGCACTTTGCTCCAGAGACTGTGGGGGCCACTGAAGGTTCTAGAGCAGGAGAGAAGCGTCTGCTCAGACAAAGGACTAAGGCGCACTCAGACAGAGGCAGCCACAGCCCAGGAGGGATCTGGACGCGGCCGGGCATCTTCAGGGCCGGCCTGCGCTCTGGGCTGCGATCTCTGCTCTGACAACCCTTCCCTGGACCCCCACCTTTTCTCCAGACTCTCCGAGCAGACGCTGCTGGTGGAGAAGCTCACAGAGCAAAACGCGAAGAAGGAGAGAACCATCTCTTCCCTCAAAATGCAGGTTCAGAAACTGGTGCGTGGGGCTGAGAGAGGAGGTGCGGGCGGGGTCCGCCCACCACCCTGCTCAGGGCGCTGCTCGGCCGCAGGAGGCCCGGAGCGGTGGGGGCCTGCTGGCGGCGGACGCCCCGGAGGACGGCGTCGGAGCCCTGCAGCGTGTTCTGCAGAGCGTCACAGAGGTGCGGCCCGTCTCGCTCCCTCCCTCCCGCGGATGGGCCCAGCGGCGCTGACGGCCGCTGGGAGGTCCCCATGTGGCCACGGCCCTGAGCTCTCTCCCCTCCATCCCTTCCTCCCTGGACCCTGAAGGTGGCCCAGGCAGACGCAGGGGGCCCGGAGCCGGCCTGGAGCGGCGGCCCGGAAGCTCGGGAGGCACAGGGCCGAGCGCAGAGGCCCACACGCTCCGCGTCCCCCCAGCGCGGGGCGTCCCCACCGCGGGCCCTGGACGCCCTGCACCCCGCGCTGCGGGCCGTGCACACAGCTCTCGAGAGGCGGCGGCGGCTGGAGCAGGTGGGAGGCCTCGGCCACAGGGGCCCCGGAGGCAAAGCTGGTGCCTGGCCTCCACCAGGCGCCTCTATGAAACCCCGGCTGGAGGTGCCCTTACAGTGCCTGCACGTGGCTCACCCTGAGGCCACAGGAAGGGGGCCTGGGTGCCACAGATGGGAGCCAGGGGTCTCTGAGAGGAAGGGTCTCCACATGGCCTGCCCCCAAGCCCTACGGCCCCAGGGACGGGGCCCCTGTCTTAAGTGCATCCCTTCGGGGGGGGAGGGGGCGATCTGTGGTCAAAGGCCTGCCCAGGCCAGAGGGACTCGGCGCACCCCCTCCCCACGCAGGAGCTGGCATCCTCCCAGGCCGTGGCCACCAGGCTCCGGGAGCAGCTGGCGGAGGCCCAGCAGGAGCTGCTGGCCTCCCGGAGGCGCCTCCAGGAGCGGACGCAGGACGAGGCGCAGGCGCACCAGCACCTCCTGCGCAAGCTGGAGGCGCAGAGGCGCGAGGCGCTGCACTGCAGGGCGTCCCGCGAGCTCTTGCGAAGGTGACCGCAGGGCTGCGCGGGGCGGGCTGGGCAGTGCCAGCCTGGGGGAGCTGCCCCCACGAGGCCTGCCCGCAGGGCAAAGAGGGCCCACCCCCAGCACGGAAGCTGCCCCTGGCAAGCCCCTCCCTCGGCCTGGCCTTGTCCCCGCAGCCCCCGCTCTCAGTCCCCTTCTCTGGTCTGGGGCCATCTGGGTGGCCACTGTCCAGGACGCAGCTTCCGGAAGCCCAGGCTGAGCGTGTGCCCTGCACCCCGCCCGGCTCCCCAGAGTGCAGCCTGGCCCCACTTCCACGCTCTCTCCTACCTCCCGCTCCCCCCGACTCACAGGACTTCTCCCAGGGGTCAGAACTGGCCCGTTCATCCCCGACTCCCTTCTCTCCCGTCGCTGGGGTGGCCTGGGAGCCCTCCTGTGTGGCCTGTGGATCCAGTGGCCTGTGGTGCCGCTGGCCATGAGGCTTTCTGGATGGGGCTTCCCAAACTCCCCCCCCCCCCCCGCCGAGCCGGGCTGTGGGAGCAGCAGGTCCTGGCGGGAGGGGCCGGAGGGCTCCCGAAGCAGCCAGGACAGGGCGCAGGTCAGGGGCTGAGGTACAGCTTCCCGGGGAGGCCCCTCCTCTGGGTGGCCTGGCGGCCTTCTCTGCCGGGACAGGAGCTCTGAGGAAAACCCACCCCTTCCTCTAGAGGTGCCCAGGGAGGGGCGCCTGGGTGGCTTAGTCGGTTAAGCGTCCGACTTTCGCTTGGGTCATGATCTCGCGGTTCGTGGGTTCGGGCCCCGCGTCGGGCTCCGTGCTGACTGCCAGCTCAGAGCCTGGAGCCTGTTTCAATCTGTGACTCCCTCTCTCTCTGACCCTCTCCTGCTCACGCTGTCTCTCTCTCTCTCTCTCCTAGAAATAAATAAAACATTAAAAAAAAAAAAAAATAGAGGTGCCCAGGGAAAGGCCAGCAGAGGAGCAGGCCTGGCGGGGGCCTGGGGGGAGGGGGCTGCGGAAGGCGCCCCGGAGGGTGGACGCCTTCCCGGGGCAGACAGGAGCAGAGACGGGGAGCGCAGAACCCCACCGCGAGCAGGGTGAGGCCGATGCGGGCCACCCCTCCCAGAAGCGGAGTGGGGCGGGGCCCCGGGGGCATGGGCAGGGGCACCGCCTTCTAGACCTGTGGCTCGGAAGGGCTGGCCTGGCTGCTGGGGGCCGAGCTGCAGTGTCCGGGGCCAGGTGGGCAGGCCTGGGGGGCCCCTGCGTGGGGGGCGGAGGAGCCAGATCCAAGGGGCACTTGGGAAATGGAGGCTTCAGGGGCCAGGGCCTGAGGAGCAGTGGCTAAGATTCAGACTCCCAGGTGGCGGGTGGCAGCAGAGAGGGCCCGGGGGTGGTCAGCCAGCGAGCACAGCTCTGCACAGGGCGACAGATCTCAAGGACCCGGGGCCCCTTCCTCACGGCTGAGCTCTGCACGGACTAGCTGAGCGTGGCCCGTGGTGGCAGAGGGCTGAGCACAGGACCCACCAGCCAGCAAGACCCTTGAGTGCTTTCCGGGCTCACGGAAACCTCCGGGAAGGGTGAGGCCCGCCAGGGGCCACCGCAGCAGGGCAGGCTGGCCTGGGGCCCCGAGGCGCCTGGATCTCTCCTGCCCCCACCTCCCTTCCCCAGGCTGCTCCCCCGAACGGCCCCCGGGGCCGGGCGCCCACCTGGCCCCGCCCACGCCCCTGGCACCCGGCCTAGGCTTGACTACGCCCAGCAGTGTCCCTCGGCTCCCTTCCCTGGACCCACGTCCTGGGGCGGCCCCAACCTCTGCGTCCCCTGCTCCCAGAGAGAAGAGGGCTCTGGAAACGGCGGTGGAGGAGCTGAGGGCCAAGGCGGCCGGTGCAGACGCAGAGAAGCAGAGGCTGGCGGCCGAGAGCGCCGGGCTGCACGCGCGCCTCCTGCTGTGGGCCGAGCAGAGGGAAGAGTTGGTGCAGCAGGCAGAGCGGGGCCGCAGGGAGCGGGAGACCAGGTGGGCCGGGCCGGGGACCCTCACGCCCCTCAGCCCCAGGGTCCCCGGCCACCAACAGGGCCACTCGTCTCCCAGGCTCATCTTCAGGAGGGGGTGGCTGATGGGACAGCGGGGCAAAGTGTTCTCCAGACGCCCCGAGGCTGGGCCCTCCCGCCACCCCCAGGGCAGATCTGCCACGCGGGCCCAGGAGAGGCGGGTGCCATGAGCCGTGCGTGCCCAGGTGCCCACAAACACGCCTCACCCAGGGTGTCCGGGCATGGGCCAAGGGCACCACCACGCCCCACCGCCAGCCCTGAACCCAGACTCAGGAACCGCCTGGCCCTGCGGGCGCCCGCCAGGCTGTGAGGGACTTGCAGGCCACCACCTCGCCCACTGTGCCCTCCCGTCTTGCCCTGAGGTGCCCTCACACTCTCTGCCCTCTGGTTTCCGGACCTCAGTCAAGGGCGCCTGGAGCAGCTGGAGGAGAAGGTCTCAGGGCTCAGGAAGGAGCTGGTGTCGGCCCAGGAGGCGCTGAACTTGGCCCAGCTGCAGAGGGACGTTCTGGAGAGCGAGAGGGAGGGTCTGCGCAGAGCCCTGGCCCGGGTACGCCCGGCCGCCATCGGCTCCCGCCCACCTCCCCCACTCGCTTGTCTCCTCCCGCTCCCGCACCCCCAGCGCGTCCCCGGAGTCCCCAGAGTGGACAGTGGCCTCCGGGGCCCCCAGGCGCGGGCACCGGCCCACCCTCCCTGGCCACGCCTGTTCTCTGCGCCATCTCCCTTGGCCACCCTGCCACCTCCCCTGGCTGCAGCCGGCCTACCCTGGGGGCCATCGGCTGCCTCAGAGGCCTCCCCACCCTGTCCCACTACAGCTTGCACACCTCCACCCCGCGGGGCTCACTCCCTCCCCACCACCAACAGCTCTGCCTGCGGGGAGGGTCTGCCCGGGCATCTGGAGTCTCTTACTGGTGTCCCCCACCCGGGTAAGCGCTGCCCCCCCCCCCGCCCCAGGCCGAGGCCGGCAACACTGACCTGGAGCTGCTCGTGACCCGGCTGAAGTCTGAGGGTGTGAAGCAAAGGGACTCCCTGGCCAAGATGGCTGCCCTGACGGAGGGGCTGGCTCGGGACAAAGGCGCCCTGGGCCACCAGGTCCTGCAGGTGAGAAGGGCCCAGGGTGGCCGCGTGGCCGCTCCCAGGCCCCCCTCGCGACCTCCTCCATTCCCGGGTGGACAGCGGTGCGGGCGGGAGGCCCCGCGGTACAGGGGAGCCCGCCAGGCCCATGGGACTGAGGGTGCGAGGCGCGTGGTGGACGGGCCTGGACGCGGACCCCTCCCTGTCCCCACGGGCGGCAGCTGGAGCAGGAGCGGGCCGACGCCCGGGAGCGGCTGGCGCGGGCAGAGCAGCAGCTGGGGGACTGCAGGTGCCTGGAGGAGCAGCTGCGGGGGCAGGTGGGCCAGGTGAGACGTCCGCGGGGCTCTGGCTGCCCCCCCGGGGTGTGGAGGCTCACACGGCACCCAGAGGTCCAGCGGGCTCAGGGCACCAGGGACTTGCGGTGCAAAAGCGCGAAGCTAACCCACTTGGCCAGACTCAAAGCCGGCTCCTAAGTGGGCTTCCCGGTGGTGGTGGCAGCGGTGGTGGAAGGGGGGGTGGTAGAGGGCAGAGACAGGGGTGGGGGCAGGGGGCTCTGCAGAGGACGCTCACAGGGGGCCTGTGCCTGCCCCCTGATGCCCACACACGTGGGGGTCAAAGGCTGCACGGCTTTCCCGCTTTGTCTCGTTCTCTCCTCCGGGACCACGTCCCCACTTGCCGTGGGCTCGTTCACGACGCGTGCATCTCGCAGGCTCTGGCCCAGCGGGGCCGCGGAGCGCCACTGCAGCGGCTGCTCCCTCCCAGCCCTGCCGTGTTGCCCCGCGTGGAACCCTGTGCCCGCAGCCCTGCTTCCCTGGCGGCGTTCAGACGCTTGTCCCGTCTCCTGGGGACTCGGTTCAGCCTCCCTCAGCACGGGCTCCCTCCCGTCTCTCCCCGTCGCCCGCTCCCCTTCTTTCCCTGAAGTGTGGTTTATGCTCAGGGAGCCGGAGCGCGGTCCAGCGGGTTGTGACAGACCCAGGAGACGTGGACAGTCTTCCTGGGCCCCGGGGTCAGCACCGCCGCAGGCAGCCTCTGCCCTGACGCGCTCCCCGGCGCCCTGGCTTCACCTGTGGCAGAACGGACCATTTTCTGTCTCGTTGGGATGTCTTTGCGAGCAGTCAGGTTGTTAGGTATATGCAGAGCTGGGGGGCTGGGGGCTCGACAGCAGAGTAACATTCTGTTGTACAAATAATAAACCACACTCACTCACTCACCCATTTACTTGCTGCAGACATTTGGGTTGTTTCCGGTCTGGGGCTGTAATGGACAAGGCTGCTGTGCACACTGGGGCACAAGTCATGCACATATTTGGGAGTGAAACTGTCGTGTGCTAGGTGTGTGCTGAACTTAATAAGAAACTGCCGAGCAGCTTTCCAAAGAGACTGTATTACTTTATTCTACCTCCGGCTGCGTAGGGTTGGGCGAGAGGGCGTTCCAGCTGCTCCTCAGCCTTGTCAACGTTTGGCATCATCCGTTTTTGCTCTTTAGCTATTCTCATTTCCTGGGTAACAAATGATGTTGAGCACATTTTCATGTGCTTATTGGAAATTTGTAGACCTTATTTTGCTAAGTGTCTGTTCAAGTCTTTTGCCCATTTTTATTTAGCTTTTGTGTTTTGGCTACGGACATATAGGAATTCTTCATATATCTTGAACACGAGTACTCTGTCAGATGGATGTACTTGGAAGAGTTTACTCAAGTTTGTGACTTGCCGACTCATTTTCTTTTTCTTTTTTTAAATATTTTTATTTATTTCAGAGAGAGAGAGAGACACAGCGTGAGCAGGGGAGAGGCAGAGAGAGAGGGAGATACAGAATCTGAAACAGGCTCCAGGCCCTGAGCTGTCAGCACAGAGCCCGACGTGGGGCTCAAACCCACGAACCATAAGATCATGACCTGTGCCGAAGTTGGACACTTAACCGACTGAGCCACCAAGGCGTTCCTGCCAACGCATTTTCTTAGTGTTGTTTTTGATGGACAGAAAATTGTAACTTTGGTCAAATCCAATTTGCCAAGTTTAAAAAAACATACGGCTAGTGTTTTCTAGGTACTGTCTGAGACATTTCTGTGTAGCCCAAGGACAAGAAAAGACCCTCCTGTGTTTTCACCTAGGTCTTATGTGTAGGTCTATGGTCACTGCACCTTGATTCTTCTGTATGGCAGTGGTTCTCAAAGTGTGTTCCCCAGAGCAGCAGCAGCATCACCTGGGAACTAGATAGAAATGCAGATTCCTAAAATGCCTCACACAGAACCAACTGAATCAGGGGCACCTGGGTGGCTCAGTCAGTTATGATCGCACAGTTCGTGAGTTCAAGGCCCACAGCAGGCTCTGTGCTGACAGCTCAGAGCCTGGAGCCTGCTTCAGATTCTGTGTTTTCTTTTCTCTCTGCTCCTTCCCCACTCACGCTCTGTCTCTCTCTCAAAAATAAATAAACATTAAAAAAATTTTTTAAAAAGCCCTCAAACCCTGACCGAATCAGAAACTCCAGGATGGGTGGCAGAAATCTGGATTTCCAGGAACCCTCCAGATGATTCTGATACATGCAAAACCATGACTACCACAGGTATGTCGTGTGAAGTAGGCACTGAAGTCTGTTATTTTTCAGACTGAGATCTGATTGTTCCAGCACCAGACTGTCCTTTCTCCCTTGAATTACCTGAGTGATTTGTTGAAAGTAAATCAATCATATATGTGTGTATGTGTGCACAGATCAGATTGTCAATCTGTGCAAATCAATCTGTTCATTCTTTCCCCAAAACCACACTGTCTTGGTTACTGTAGCTTTTTAGTAAGCCTTGAAATTAAGTAGTGTGACTCCTCCAATCTTATTCTTCTTTTCCAAAATGTTTTTGACTGTTCTAATTTTTTTATATATCCATATACATTTCAGAATCAGCTTGTGAATTTTGTCCCCCTACCCCCAAACCCTCATAGGTCCTTGACTGGGATCGTGTTGACTTTATAGGTCAGTTTTAGAGGACTGGACACCTTCACAACATTGAGGTGTCCATCCACGAAAATGTGGTATATCTCTGTTTCTTTCTTTACTTAATTCTCTTAGCTGTGTTTTGTGCTCGGCTAGGGGTCTTGCACACATTTGATTAAATTAAATTTGAGTTTGATATTATGAATTGCCTTGTTATTTTTCTAGTATTCATTGCTAGTATATAGGTTACAGCCTCATCTAGGAACTTTGAGTCGTGACCTTGACTGATTCACTCGTGAGTGCCAGGCTTTTACATGCTCGTAATTATGGCATTTGTGAATAGCCCAAAAAAGAATAGTTTTACTTTCTTTCTGATTGATCTCAGTGACTTTTATTTCTTTTTCTCTTGATGCACTGACTAAACAGCCATGGAACAAAGTTGAGAAGAAGAGGTGAGAGTGGCTGTGTTTCCACTGATCCCAGTCACAAGGAAGGAATTCAGTTTTTCGCCATCATGGACGAGGTTCTCTGTAGGCTCTTCACGGACGCCCCTTATTACACTGAGGATGTTCCTTTCCATTTCTAGTGTGCTGATGGGGTTGGTGTTTAAATCATACATGAGTTTGATTTCTTTTTTTAATCTTTTTGTTGTTGTTGTTTAATGTTTATTCATTTTTGAGAGAGAAAGAGAGACAGAGAATCCAAAGCAGGCTCCATGCTCTGAACTCTCAGCACAGAGCCTGATACGGGCCTTGAACCCATGAGCCACAAGATCATGACCTGAGCTGAAGTTGGATGCCCAACAGACTGAGCTACCCAGCCGCCCCAAGTTTTGAATTATTTTAACAGCTTTTACTTTATAAAATGACCATATCATTGTTCTCCTCATTCTGTTAATGTGGTGAGTTATAGGGGCTAATTTTCTTAATGTTACACCAACCTTGCCTACCTGAGATAAAGCCTACTTGGTCCCAAGTTAACAGCCTTTGTATATGTTTTTGGATTCAGTTTAATAATATTTTGTGAAGGATTTTTGCATTGATATTCACGAGGACTATTGGTCTGTGATTTTCTTTTCCATAGTGTTTTTGTCAGATTTGGAACCAAGGCCTCATAAAAGAAGTTGGGAAATTTATTTATTCTTGAACATGTTTTGACATTGGTGTTTCTTCCCTAAATCGCAGTAGGATTCACTAGTGAAAGCATTTCAGTCTGGCGTTTCCTTTATGAGAAAAGTTTTGGTAAGTAATTCAAGTTCAGAAACAAATGTAGGGTGCAGGTCTGTTAACTCGTGTGGCCGCTTGTTCGGCTCTCTGTGCCTTCATTCCCCGTGTGATTTCTTGTTTGACCTGTGGCTTATTGATGTACATTGCCTCATTCCCAAATATGGGGATTTTCCTATGTTTGGAAATAACCTACTTGTTACCCATTTCTAATACAATTCCATTGCAGTCAGAAAACATACTCCATGTAATTTGAATGGATATAAGGTACTGAAGCAGGTTTTATGGCCCAGTGTATCTTGTTGAGCATCTCATGTTCATGTGAGAGGGGTGTGCACCATGCTACTGGCGGATGGAGAGTCTGTGAGTATCAGTTAGATCAAGTATTGTTTAAATCTTCCATGTCCTCACTGTTTTGGGGTTGTTTTTGTTTGTTTGTTTGTTTGTCTTATTTATTTATTTGGTTTATTTGACTGGTTGTTTTTGTCCCCTTGTTCTAATAATTAGTGATGGGAAGGCATTAAAATCTCCATCTATGATTGTAGGATTGTCTATTTCAGCCTTTAGTCCTGTTCATTTTGCCTCACATTTCGAATTCCTATTATTAGGTGTATACACACTTAGTATTTTATGCCTTCATGATGCATTGAATTGACTTTTCATTGTTTTAAAATATTCCCTCTTACCTCCTCTTTTTCTAGATACCTACTTTTTGTGATATTGATTCAGCCACACCAGCTTTGTCGAGCTACGCATTTTCATTATATATCCTTCCATACATTTACTTGCAATTTGTCTGTCTGTGTATTTAAAGTGTGTTTCTTGTAAAAATCATATTGTTGGGTCTTGCTTTAATTTTACTCTAACAGTCTAGCAATTAGTTGGAGGGTTTGTACCATTTACATTTAGTGTAACCATTGATATATTTGGTTGCAGCAGCTTGGTATTTGTTTTGATTGGTCTCATTTAAAAAAAACATTTTACATTCCTCTACTCTGGCCTTTTTTGAGTTAGTTGCATACATGTAGTATTCCACTTTATGTTCTCTGTTGATATTTCTAAGCTATACTTCTTTTCCTTATCCTTTTATTAATTACTCTAAAATTATGATATGCCCTGTTCATATTCGAATAATATTTTACTACCTCAAAAACGGTTTAAGACCCTCCTAGCAAAGTATTACATTTATCCCTCTCATCCTTTGTGCTCTTGATGCTGCATATTTTGTTTCTACATGTGTTCTTATAAACCCTACAATATATTATTAATATTTTTGCTTTAAACAGTCACTTTAACTACACACACACACATACACACTTCAGTTATCTGGCAAAATTCTTTATCTTCATAAGTATGTTAAGTAGATAATCTTAAATCTTTTTCTGATAACTCCGACATCTGGGCCCCCTAATGGCTTTCTATTGTCTCTCATCTCTTGGTTTTCAGTAATTTGGTCTTGCCTCCTGATATGCATAATAGTGCTTATTGAATTAGACTTTATGTTTTTGTAGAGATAATTTGAGGCTCTGAATGAGATCAACTTTTTCCAGAGGGAATTTGCTTTTGATTTTGGGAAATCAAAGCAGGGACAGATCAGTTTCGGATCAAGCTGGTGTGTAACTGGGTTTCAGCCTTTTGTGAGGAGCAATCTATTTCTGGTGTCCCCTGGGGGATAACATGGCTGTCCCGTGCTCCTAACTGGAAGTGTCGGGTGTTGACCAGAGCCCCCATGTTTTGGTGAGCCCTAACTGCAGGTTTTGTTTTCTCAATTCTGTAAGATTACCCGAAGTTCTACCTGACTTCTCAGACTCTAAGCTGCCATTTCTCACTCACATTTATGGTCCCTTGACCCTGTACTTCTTGGGAGTTATTTAAAAAAAAAAAAAAAAAAAGGAATGCAATTTAAAAAACAATACAGAATCTGAGTCTCCCCTCCTCTCTGACGTTTTCACCTCTCAAACCCTGGCTGCTTGGTTGCTTTGAACTCCAGGTTAGGTCTCCCTAGACTTGTAAGGCCACTGAAACCATAAGCCAAGTTCCCAGCCTTTTAGCCAAGGCTTTAACCGTGGCTGCCAAGGCTCTGCGCCTTGCACTACCTCGGAGTTGGCGGATACCTCAAGGAAGACATGTGATGGGGTGTCGGGCTCAGTTGGATCCACGTCTCCTTGGGTCTTGGCCACTTGGCATCTCTTAGGCCCCCATACAGTTATGTTGGGCGTACGTTGTATGGATTTTCTAGCTGTTCCAGGTGAGAGGGTTGGCCTTCAACAACCTCCCTCACCAGTATCAGAAGCAGAAAGTTCTGGTCTCTATGTTTGAAGAATGTTTTTACTGGCTATGGAATACTAAGATAGCCATTATTTCCTTCAGCATTTTGATGAATTCATCCCACCATCTTCTGACTTTCATTGTTGCTGTTTGGAAGTCAAATGTCAGTCTTATTGTTGCTCATTTTAAGGCAATGTGTGTTTTCCCCTGATTTTAAAAGACGTATTTCTTTATCTTTGGTATTCTGAAACTTTAGTATACTCTGTGTGACCTTTTCTTTGTATTTATCTTACTGGAAGATTATGGCTCGTTTTAAATCTGTGGCTTGATGTATTTTAGTAGAATTGGGAAACTCTTGTGCAGCATCTGTTCAGATATTCTCTCTCCTCTCCTACTGCGACTCTAACTGTACAGATGTTGGGCCTTTTAACCTTGCCCGTCTGTCTATTCACTCTCTTCTGTGTTCTTCCCCCTTTTTCTCTTCACGATTCAGTCTGAACACATTCTTTTATATCTTCCAGATTATTAGTTCTCTTTTCTGTCTAAGCCAGCATTGAACTCATATAGGTATTAATTTTGGTTATTGTATTTTTAAATTATATTGTTTATATTTAGTTTCTAGTTCTGTTGTGAAATTCTGCATCTTGCTACCCATCGTCTTGAACATTTAATCACAGCTATTTTAAACTCTGCGTCCGATAGCTCTAATATCTGGATACCCAAGAGGGCAGGGAGGCATCAGTGTTTATTTTCTGTTCTTTCATGTGGGTTTTTTTTTTTTTTTTTTTTTTTTGCCATATGATTGTGTTTCCTGATGTGGCTGGCAATGTTGATGAAATGCTAAATATCATGGGTAAAAACTATAGAAATAACTTGAGGACCTCAATGACACTATTCTTACTTTGGTCTGGCGAGCAGTGACGTGAATGGTCACCATAGTTCCTGGTTAAAGAGACTCAAACCTGAACTATTTTTTTTTTTAAAGAGAGAGAGAGAGTGTGAGCAGGGGAGGGTCAGAGAGAGAGGGAGACACAGAATCTGAAGCAGCTCCAGGCCCTGAGCTGTCAGCACAGAGCCCGACGTGGGGCTCAAAGTCACAAACCGTGAGATCATGACCTGAGCCGAAGTCGGACGCTTAACCGACTGAGCCCCCCGGGCGCCTCTTGAACCTGAACTTCAGAGGTGAGGAGAGACGGCCTACTTCCGGTTCAGCACCACTGTCAGGTGACGTCCTGCAGTGCATACAGCTCAGGCTGCTGTGTCTGTCCCGGCCCCTCTGCTAGGATGGCTCTGACCTTGACTTTTCATTCCCTAAGGCCAGAGCACTGTCAGAGCTCTCTTTGGCTTCTCAATGTCTCTGCCAAAACTTTTAAGTCAGCAAATCCTGAAGAGAGAAGAGCTACCGAGTGGCGGGCTCGCTGCTCCGACTCCCCTCCTCCGAGGCCGCAGCTGCCTTGGCAGTGCTCTGAGGCTTTGTGCAGACTCCTGGGTTATGTTCCATCCACATTCTTGAGACGTCCTTGACCCAAGCGCTGGTCCGCAGCACCCTGGTCTCCAGCCACCTTCTATTGCCATCACTGTGTGGTGTTTCCTGCGCCCTGGGCCCCCGTGAGCCGACCCAGGTTACCATTTAGATAGGCAGCCGGCTCCTCCCTGGGGGTGCCCGGTTCAGGACTCCCCCACCATGGCCACAGGAGCGGGGGCCCCTCTGCTGTGAACACACGCGCGCGTGTTCTGGCTCCAATCTGTCCTCTGTCTGCTCTCCTGTCCCTCCATGCCATTCTGCACAAAATTGCTTCTATTCCCTTGAGAGGCCCCTCCTGACGCTCCCACTCTCTGCTGCACTGTCCCTTCCCCCTCCTCTAGGTCACAGGCAAGAAACAGGCCCTGGAAGAGGAGCTGGCCCAGAGCCTGCGGGCCCAGGGGGCCCAGAGGGACGCGCTGCAGAGGGCCCAGCAGGAGACGGAGGCTCTGTGCGAGGAGCGGGCCCGGCTGCTGGCCAAGCAGGAGGCCCTGGCGAGGCAGGTCCAGCTCGCAGCTGAGGAGGCGGCCGACCTCAGGTACCGGGGCCCCGGCAGGGGCCACTCGGCCTCGCCCTCGAAGAGCCTGCAGTGTGGCAGGGACAGGCACTCGCTCAGCGACTGTAGGGCAGCGCAACGTTACGTCTACCAGGGAGGGAGGCTGTGAGTGAGGCGCAAACGAGCCTGGTTAGGAGGCGCATCGGGAAGAAGTGAGTCCAGTGGGCGTCCTGGGACGGCCCTGCCGAGAGAGGCGGCCACGCTGGCCAGGTAGCAGGACCCAGAAACCCAGTCCAGACTGGCAGAAGGAAGGCCTGGGATGTCCTGCTCGTGGATCGAATTTCAGGGCCCACATGGCGTCAGGCAAGGCTGGATCCAGGTGCTCCCACCGGGCTGGCAGAGTCCTGCCTCTCCCGGCTCAGTGCTCTTAACTCAGGCGGTTTTGTTCTCAGGCAGAGTCGGGATGAGAGGCGGCAAATGGTCACGCCAGCACCCACCCCCCTGCACCCGCAGACATAGTGTCCTTCTCCCCACAAAACCCAACAGCTGCTGTCATTGGCCATGTTGAGCCACTTGATACCTCAGAACCAATCCTGGGAGTCGTACGGCTCAGCCGGGCAGGCTGGGGTCCCACGGCCACCCCGCAGCCAGGCGCGCGCCAGCCAGAGGCTGAGGGCAGGGGCAGGGTGAGCCTCAAAGACCAGCAAGGGCCGCTTCCGAAGACGTGACACAGGCACCTGTAGCCCCAGAGTGGGGCCCTGTCACCCGGTATGCGGAGCTGGCTCCCTGGCCTCTGCAGAGATCCAAACGCTGGTCCCCTCTGCCACCACACCTGTGGGCTCCCTCGGGGACGTCTAAGTATTTTTGTAGCAAAGGTTTCCTCCCGGAGCTCCGGAACGTGGGTGCCACCATAGGCCTGTGAGCCCCAGGTCCCCGCCCACCCTCACAGACAAACCTCTTTTGCAAATGAAGGCTCGCCCAGAAATAGGAACGGGAGGGGCGCCTGGGTGGCTTAGTCGGTTAAGCGTCCGACTTTCGCTTGGGTCATGATCTCGCGGTTCGTGGGTTCGAGCCCCGCGTCGGGCTCTGTGCTGACTGCCAGCTCAGAGCCTGGAGCCTGTTTCAGTCTGTGACTCCCTCTCTCTCTGACCCTCCCCTGCTCACGCTGTCTCTCTCTCTCTCTCCTAGAAATAAATAAAAAACATTTAAAAAAAAAAATTAAAAAAAAAGAAATAGGAACGGGAAACCTCACAAAGGCGGGCTCAGCGGGAGCCCTCCCAGGCCCCACGGGTGCGCAGACAAGCGGGGGTCAGAGGCCCCTGTCACCTGCCGGCGTCTGCTGCCCGGATCGGGGACAGGGGCCAGGCAGAGGCCTTGACAGCCTGCGTGGTCCCCGCAGGCTCGGCCCTGACCGCCAGGCCCAGGGCCTCTGCACACGGGCAGCCCTGTGGCCCCAGACAGTCACCTGCTCGTTAAACAGCACTTTACGGTGACCGTTCGGAGCCCCTGGTGACAGGGCGGCTGCTGGGCGCTTGTTCTGAAATCACGTTTGCTGGCCCAGGCCTCCTGGCCCCCGCGCTACGTGCGGCTGGCTCCGTGGGCCCGGAGGGGCCGACCCGCAGGCGTGGGGGACCCCGGGCAACGCTGACACCGCCAGAGGCGAGAAGCCCTGCTTCAGCCTCTGCTTCTCCCACGGTGCACTGATGGCAGAGGACCTGGGTCTCAAGGCCCCCCAGCCCCCAAACCCAGGCACCCACAAGGCTGCAGGGCCGGAGGGGGTGCTGGCTTGCTCGTCACCCGGCGACACGGTGCAGGGTCCGCCTGCATCTTGCCACACCCTCGCTGGTCACGCCGGGCCTCTGCTCCAGGCGGCTGAGCCGCTCTTGGGCCCCCACGGAAGGGGAGACTGGACATGCCCTTAGCGTCCCAGGCTTCGGGGTGAAAGAAAATGCTGGTGTCTGAGTGACGGAGAGCAGAAGGGCCCCAGCTGCTGTCTGGGAGGAGGTGGGTTCAAGGTGTTGGCGAGAGCATTCCAGGCGGTGGGGGCCTCACACAGACGCGGGGAGCAGGGAACGACGGCTGCTTACCAGGGTGGGGCCGGAGGGGGCCGGGGGGGCCGGGGGGGCCGGGGTATCAGAGGAGTGAGGTTTCTGGGCTCTGCAGGCAAGAGCGAGCCCTGGATGGTGTCGACGTGCCCAAGCCCCCCAAGGGTGGCAGCCGTGAGCAGGCTCCCCCGTGGCCCCTGGCCCTCCCTGAACCCTTGCCTTGTGTGGGGCTGCGTGTCCGCCATTTGTGTTCATGTGAGCATTTTTGTCTGGGTGTTTGTTCTGGGTGCACATGTGCCGCCCATCACCCTGCACAGGGCTGAGCACAGCAGCATCCACACGCTCACTGGCAGGTTGACGACTGATGGCCTGACTGGCTGTCCCCTGACAACTCCTTCAGGCCGCTCCCGCCCCCTCCCCAGGAGAGAACGCCGCTCCGAGCTGCAGGTGTTTTCTGCACACTTGCGTCTGCACGCAGGGAGACACCGCGGCAGCTCTCGTACGCGGTGCAATCACGCTGTGCGTGCCGTTGCGCTCCGACACATTGCTTCTCGGAGAGAAGAGAATAGAGAAGAGACTTTCCTCATCCTCGATAACAGCGCACTAGACACACCATCATTTCTAAGACATTCTGCCGCGTATCGGCATCGAAGCCAAGTCCAGCCAGTGCCCATATAAAGCCACAGTTAGCACCCTTGTACGGGCATCGTTGGTTCCTGTGTATTTCTAAGGAACTGACGCTTGGGAGTGGAATTGCTGGCTCAAAGATAGGCACACTTTAAATGTTGAAATTTCCTAGTCTCCCCTCCACAAAGAAAATGGTCCTCAAACCCTGGCAGCACTGAATATAAAGATTATTTAAAGTGTCAATCTGATGCATAGTCAGTAACACCTCATGGTTGTGATTTGAATCTCCTCAAGTACGAGTAAGGTTGAGAAAATTTTATGTTTTCATTCCCCCTTTGTGTTTTCTTTGGGAATAACAGTCATTTTTCTCATTTTTCTGTAGGATCAGCTGACTTTCTGTCATTGATTGGTAGGAGCTCTTTGCATATGATGGATATTAACTCTTTGTCCCTTGTCTTTTAAGTTGGTTTGCAAAATCTTTCCTGCTTAAGCCCCCAACCCCTTTAAGTGTTTTCAGATCCTCTGGCCTCTTTATTTTTGTCTTCTGTCTTTTGTGTTTTGCTCACAAAGTTTATAAAATACCTTTATCTGTTTTTTTCTGCGGTTTTTATAGTTCTGAGTTGTTTATTTGTTGTTGTGGGGTTTTTTTTACTTTTAGCTTTTTATTCCACCTGAAAGATTATTTTGTGCAGGGCCTAATTTGGTTTTGGAGATTTAAAATGAATGATGGGGTGTGCCTGGCTGGCTCAGTTGGTAGATCTCATGACTCCTGATCTGAGGGTCGTGAGTTCAAGCCCACATTCAGCGTGGAGCCTACTTTAAAAAAAAAAAAAAAAAAAAAAAGAGTTAAAAAAAAGAATGAAATGCTCATTCTGTTTATCTTCTGATTGGTGAGTCAGCCGCGGCGGGCGCGAGCTCTGCACCGTCCCTCCCGGGCAGGACCGCCTGGGTGACCTGCTCCACGGTCTGATGACTCTCTGCAGGGCTGAGAGGGACTCTCTGGAGAGCAGCCTCTTCGAGACCCAGCAGCTGGCGATGCAGCTGCAGGTGCAGCGGGAGCAGCTGGAGGCAGAGGCCCAGAGCATGGGGCTCGCGCGGGAAGCCCTGCAAGGTGCGCCTTGGCCGCTCTCTGCTCCTCTCTCCCCTTCGGTGGAGCTCAGTCCCCAGACGTGCCGCCCACACTCCCCAGTCCGCTGAAGGGGCATGAACACAGGCCTGGAGCCCGTGTGGCTGAACGGGTCATGCCACTATTGTCTAGGAGGGACGGGCACCTGCCCAGCCTGCCCTCAGTGCTGGGCCCGGGTGCAGAACTGGGTGCGGCCACTGGGTCAGCATGGTGGCTCCCCGCCCCGCCCCCTGCCCTGTGTGGGCCTGGCCAGAGCCAATGCAAGGTGAGAGTCTGGGAGACCCAGCCGGGCACAGCGCCGTCGTCCCCACTGGCTCCGGCAGCCCCGGTGGCCGTCAGCTCGCGGGGCCGTCGCTCCGCAGGAGTCCGTGAGGGCCACGAGGGGTTCCGTGCGTGGCGGCCTCGCGGCCGGTCCCTGATGCACCTGTCGCTTCACAGCGGAAATGCAGCAGCTGAAAAGCGCCTCGGAGGCGCAGGAGACGCGGCTGCGGCAGCAAGTGGCAGAGCAGGAGCGGGACGCGCAGGCGGCCCTGGAGCGCCGGGCGCTGGCGCACCGTGAGGCCCTGGCTCGGCTCCAGAGGGAGAAGGTCCGTCCCCGCTGGGCCGCCAGCTGCCTCTCACCCCCCAGGCGTCTGCCAGGTCCCACAGCACAGCCGGCCCGCGGGGGAGGGAGGTGCCCCAGGCGACCCGCGGCCGGGCCCCCAGGAGGCCTCAGTCCGCGCGGGCGACCCAGGGCCTGGGCTTGGCTGACCCGGCTGCAGTGTCAGGGCCGACAGCCGGAGGGAACTGCACCCTCCGTCTGAGCTGTCCCCTGGCCACAGGCCCCTGCAAGGCCCCGTTCCGTATGTCACCCGTCCCGTGAATGTGGAGGCTCGGGAGAGGTTTATGCGCCGCTGCGCAGGGACGGCCGTTGGCGAGACCCAGCTCTTGCTTTCGTGTCGCTGTGTAGGACAAGGGGGTGGAGCTGACGGGCGTGGGCAACTCCCGGGCCCTGCCCTGTCCTGACGCCCCTGAGCAGGTCTCACTCAGGACTGCGGGTACCTGCTTCTCGTGCGCGTCCTGACCAGTGCAGTCCTCACAGCCTGCCCCTTGCCTCGGCCCAGGAGTCCCTGAGTCTGTCTCTGACAGACCAGAAAGAAGTGGCAGCTCACCGGCTGGAGCAGGAGAAGAAGCTGGTAGCAAAGAATGTGGCCGAGCGGGAGGCTCTGCAGGAGGAAATTCAGAACCTAAAGCATGAGCGCGACGCGAGTCTCCTCCAAGTGGAACACGAGATGCAAGAGGTGATGAGGGACTATGAGGCAGTGGGCGGTCCTCACACCCACCTCACCAGGCCTCCTCTGACCCAGAAAGAGGGCTAGTTCCAGGTCACTGCTGTTGCAGCTTCAGTCTTCCACAGCAGTCCAAGTAGACAGACATCCACCCACCAACTGATCCATCCACCCGTCCACCAATCCATCCGTCCACCAATCCATCTGTCCACTAATTCATCCTTCCATCCACCAATGCATACAACCAGACATCCAGACATCCACCGTCTATCTACTAATCCATCCACCAGTCCATCCATCCATCCATCCATCCACCCACCAAACCATCCATCCATCCATCCATCCATCCATCCATCCATCCATCCACCCACCCATCCATCCATCCATCCATCCATCCATCCATCCATCCATCCACCAAACCATCCATCCATCCATCCATCCATCCATCCATCCATCCATCCATCCACCCACCAAACCATCCATCCATCCATCCATCCATCCATCCATCCACCCACCAAACCATCCATCCATCCATCCATCCATCCATCCATCCATCCATCCACCAAACCATCCATCCATCCAACCATCCATCCACCTACCATCCATCCCTTCATGCATTTGACTGTCCCTCCATTCATTTATCATCATCCATCCATTTATTTGAATATCCATCCTTCTATCTATACACTTACCTCTCCTCCCACATACATGGCCATCTATCCACATATCCGATTTTCCATTCACACACCTAACCATACATCTATTCATCAATTTCTCTAAACATCCATCAACGATCCATGCACTCAACCATCCCTCCATGCATCCAGATAGACTATCCATCTATCCAACCTCTCACTTGACCATCTCTCCATCCGTTCATGTAAGCACCCTTCCCTCTGCCCACACACTCCGCCGTCCGTGCATAGCCAGCACCCTCTCTGTCACCTGACCAGCCAGCCGGTGTGCAGAGAACTGGCTGAGCACAGGCCCAGGAGCCGGACCATGTCAGAGCAGAAGGCCCCGCGGGCCCGAGGCGGGACACCGGCTGCCTCCAGAGAGGTGCCCCTCCCCGAGCAAGGGTGTGGGATCAACAACACACACATCCTGTTAGAGATTTAGCACCCAGCGTTCTGCTGCAGCCTCTCCTTATGGAGGCCGCCTGACCCTCACAAGCACGCCCCCCCGCCCCCCATCCCTTCCAGGCCCTGTCACTGAGAGAAGCAGAGATGAGGCTGCTAAGGGAAGAGCTCTTCGGAGCCATGCAGGAGCTGGGGCAGGTGCGGCAGGAGGCCCACAGCCAGCGGGAGCAAGCTGAGGTGAGCCCGGGCACCCCGCCTGGCGCCTGCCTCGCCCAGCAGGCTCCAGCAGACGCTCAGACGCACCCGTTCCTTCCTGGTCCCAGGGCCACAGCCCCCCAGTCCTGGCCCCGTGGGTCTCAGTCTCCTCCAGGGAATGTCCGGTCTCGTGCTGGGAGGGGACAGTGCCTGGGTGGGAAGGGAAGGCCCAGTGAGCCGAAGCCGGCTGGGGGCAGGGGCTTCAGGAGCGAGTCCCCATCCCACAGCTGCCGGCCTGGCCAGGAAGTGGCCAGATGGGAGGGCCTGGGGCCGCAGTGAGCTCGCAGCAGAGGACAGGACCCAGCCCTGTGCCGCAGCCGGCCCCACGGACATCCAACCTTGCCTGTCTGTGCACTTGAGATGCACTTGGCAAAATGGAACTGCAGGAAATGTGCGAGAGGCGTCTGGGGCTGGCTCATTGGAGAGGCGAGTCCAAAGGAGAAACCAAGCCCGGAAAGGCCGGCGTTGTCCCCGAGGCAGACCCTCACGGGGCAGGACCCCACAGAGAGTCTGCAGCCGAGCCAGGAGAAAGGGTCCCGAGGGACGAGGGGCAGGAGAGACGCCCACAGGTGCTCTGAGGCTGCATCTGGCAGCCAGCTGGGGTCACCTGGGGCTCTGGACTCCATCAGGAGCCTGTGTCCGGGGAACAGGCCAGGCAGCAGCAACTGGGGCTCACCCACGGGTGGGGCTGGGCCCCGTGCTGTCTCCAGTGGAAGGCCTCAGCCTCCTTATGAAATGCAGTGAGTCGCACCGGTGTGGGCGAGGTGGGGATGAGCCCCCCACCCCCGCAGGCGGAGGCGGCCAGAGCTAGGACCCCACGGGGAGCTCAGGGCGGGGTGTCTGCAGCGGGGGTCAGGACCAGGGCCTGGGGCGGGGGCGGGGCGCCGGCCCTGAGCAGAAGCAGGCAGGGAGCAGCCCGGAGTAACGCGGGGCGCTTCCCACACCCCCAGGCTGCAGGCGGCCAGCCTGGTCCAGGGCCCCTTGTCCCCTCTGCCTCTGGCCCGTGTCCTTCCGGCTCCCGTCACCCACCTTTTATCCAGGAGACTTTTTCACTCTTCCTGGTGCGTCCCAGCCCCAAGGTCGCGGGGTGAGATGCTCCCCTGGCGCTGAGCGAATGACTCGGCGAGTCCGGGGGAGAGCGTGCGGACGGAACACGGGCCGCGGTGCCCAGCCCAGAATGCGCGTGGTGAGCAGCAGGCGCTGCCGCTGACTGCACCTCTCCAGCAGCAGCGGGCGCCGAGACGCAGGGCCATGGGGAGCCAGGGACAGCCAGTCCTGTGCCGGGGCCCTGTCGGCGGGAAAGGGGGCTGCGGTTAGGGGCTGGCTGCCTCCCGCCCCTCCTCAGCACTGCCCGACAGAGTCGCTCTGAGCACCGCCACCCGGAGGGGCTCCTGGCACCCAGGAAAGTCTTGTCCAAGGGCCCGTCTCCCTGGAGCCTCCACCCTGCTCTATCGCAGGCTGGCTGGCGCTTCCGCAGACACAGCTTGGGGGGGCCTGGGGGGTGCCCTCCTTCCTCCCACCCCCACCAAGCCACCCCCTCTGTCCCACTCATTGTCAGGAACCCCCCTAGGACCCTGAGTGACCCCCCAACTCCGAGGGGCCAGTCAGGAGCCTTCCTTCCCTCGTGCTGGCTGAGTCTCGGCCTGGCCTGGGGTGGCCGCCGGCCAGCGGGACAAAGCCCTCAGCCAGGTCATTAAGGGTCGCTTTGGCCCCTCGGCAAGGAAAGTGGAGGTTAAAACCCGCTGGGGACAGAAGCAGCCGAAAAGCCTGCCGAGGAAAGCCAGTGGCGAGGTGATGTGAGAAAGGCCCCTGGCCGGTGGAGGGGCCCCCACAGCCATGCTGGGTCTGCCCTGGGGGCACAGCCAGACCGGCCCCCGGGGGATGCCTGTCTGCCCGGGCAGGGGCGGAGCGAGGAGGCACCAGGGAGGCCCCGTCACCAAGAGCAGGATGCCTGGCCGCAGGCAGCTGCCTACAGACTCCAGGCACCCCTGCCTCCCGGGACACGGAGCCAGCTCCACCCCCTCCTGGGGCCCAGACCACCCTGGGACCAGGGCAGGGGCGGGGGGCGTCCTGGCCGGGCCGGCCTCGGGCTCCGGCTAAGCAGGTGGTGCCCTTGTTCACGGACAAGGAAGCTGCGGCCGCTTCCTAGCCTGGGGCCCAAGGACCCCACGTCCTCAGAGCCCACCGGGCGGTGCTGGAGAGGAGGGCCCAGGACGGAGAGCAGGAAAGGGCCAAGCGGAGTCCCCGATGATGGGTGCACGCGTGGGCCCTGCAGGGGTGGGTGCAGGCGGAGCCCCGTGGCCCCTTTCTAGGCACGTCTGTGGGTGCTCACATGTTTAGGCTGGCAGGGATTGTGGGCATCCCCTGATGCCACCTGCCTATTTGAAAGTTCAGGAAACCAAGGGCCAGACTGACTGAGGGGCTCCTGCGTTCACCTGGGCGTGGGGACAGGGCTGTCCCGGGACCCGGCTCCCCCTCCCCCACCGCCACCAAGTCCTCTGAGCTGGGGTCCGCCTGTCTGGCCCTACACTGACAGGCAGGGCCCCAGACAGAGGGACCAGAGGCAGCTCGGCTCGGAGTGGGGAGCCCCCCGTGCGTGACCGTGGGGGAGGCCCCAGACCACAGGACCGGGGGACCTGGGCTGCCTCTCCCAGGCCCGAGTCCTGAGCGCACTGCCCGGCCGAACGGGTTCCGACGGCAGCGCCGTTTGTGAGGCAGCTGTTCTCGGCCCCTCGGCGGAGCCGGCCCAACAGCAACATTTTAGGCTTGAAAGAATTCCGCCCTTGAGTCCCTGACGGGGTCCCTGCTGCCCACCCTGCCCTGGCGGGGAGGCCTGGAGACCCCAAAGGAAAGGCGTGGGGGACGGGGCCAGACTCTCCGTGCAGGGAGACACCCCCCCATCACCGTGTCCCCTCGGAGCCTGGCAGCGGCGGCACGGGCAGTGCGGTGCGGGAGCCCGGCCCGGGGCCCTGCCCGCCTCGCGTGGCCCGAGCCTCCCTCCGGCCTCCCCTCTGCCAGCCACCCAAGCCTTGGGCTGCCCCTGGACGCTGTGGCCAGCTTGCCGCTCTCTCCAGGCCACCGTCAGCACCACGGCCGCGGAGCTGAAGGCCCTGCAGGCGCAGTTTGAGGACGCCATCACGGCGCATCAGGGGGAGGCCGCGGCTCTGAGAGACCGTCTCCGGGAGATGGCGGCAGAGAGAAGCAACGCTGGGAGAGAAGTGAGGGGGTGCCGGGGGGGAGGGGTGCCGGGAGTGGAGGAGCTGGTTTGGGGGGGTAACCAGGAGGGGGAAAGGGTGGTGGTGGAGGGGGTGCCAGGAGCTAGGAGGGGGGTCAGGACAAGGGGAGAGAAGGCCTTCCAGAAAGGCAGGTGTGACGGGGGTGGGGGGAGGCAGGGAAGCCGGACCCCCGGCCCGGGGACCCTCCACCCTACCAGCCCCAGGCAGAGCTGACGCGGGGGTGCCGGCCGGGCTCTGCCCGTGTGCAGCACGACGCACGGAGCCCAAGGGACTGGGCAGGGGTGGGCCGAGGCTGCCTGGGGGTGCCGGGGAAGGGGCAGATCTGGGGGCGTCGGTGGTGTTTCCAGGGCCAGGCGTTGCTGCAGGGGCCCCCGAGCCATGTGCCTGCGTCCTGCGGTGGGACAGGGTCTCGGGCAGGGCAGGCCAGGCTGCGGCCCAGCGGGCAGGCAAGAGGGAGAGGGGTTCTGAGGGAGACGTGAGGGGACCTGGGAGCCAGGGGAGGGGAGGGCATGGGGGGTGCCGGGGGAGGGGGGGCAGGATGCCACGGGGGGGTGTGCTGGGGGGGAGGGGAGGGCAGGAGGGCAGGGGGGTGCCGGGGGGAGGGGAGGCAGGAGGGCACCGTGGGCACCGTGGGAGGGAAAGCCGAGTGCTCTCTGGCAGGCAGCGCACTGACCCGGAGGAGCTTGGGGGGCATGAGCAGCAGGGAGGAGGGGGCTCCGCAGCCCGCCCCCCGCCCCCCCAGGGGCAGGCCCCACGGTGGAGGGAGAGGGAGAGAGAGAGAGCATGATTTAACATGACAAGCTGTTTACTTTGGCCCCAAAGAGAAAGGTCTCCTTTCAACAGATTTCAAAGTCAGGCCCGGTCAGCGACCACACGGGGAAGCAAAATGAGATTTTAAAACGAGGGGCTGCAGGAGAGGAGCCAGGAGACTGGGGGCACATTTGTTCTGAGGAGGTGAAAGAGGAGAGCACAGGCCTCCTGAGAAGCTCAGGTTCCCAGAGAGGGGGCCCCGGAAAGGAGAGGGGCCCCCAGGAAGGAGAGGGAACCCCCGGAAAGGAGAGGGGCCCCTGGGAAGGAGAGACTTCCAGAAAGGAGAGGGGGCCCCCAGGAAGGAGAGGGAACCCCCAGAAAGGAGAGGGGCCCCAGAAAGGAGAGGGAACCCCTGGAAAGGAGAGGGCTCCCCCAGAAATGAGAGGGAACCCCAGAAAGGAGAGGGGTCCTTATAAAGGACAGGAGTCCCCAGAAAGGAGAGGGACCCCAGAGAGAGAGGGGCCCCAGAAAGGAAAAGGCCCTCAGCGAGGGAGTGGGGGAGCAGGAGGCTGAGGTGGGGGGGGCAGGAGGAACAAGCCAGGGAGCAGCGGCACCAAAGAGCCTCCCAGGCGCCAGGCTGGCCCGGTCGCCATGGAAACCATAACGTTTTCACAGCCTTTAAACTGAAGGAACGTCCAGGCTTCTCTCGCGCTGCCTGGAGTCCACACGTGTGTGCCTGCACACACACGTGAACCCACTGCACGGTTCACACGCATGCACACGCATGCACACAAGTGACTGTACATGCGCCTGCACACGTGTGAACCCAGTGCATGTTTCACACATGCACACGCATGCACATGCATGCACACAAGTGCCAGGGTACACGTACCTGCACACACACATGGGCCCACCACGGTGCACACACATGCACACAAGTGACTGTACACGTGCCTGCACACACACACTCATGTGTGGACACAACACTCACAGGGAAACCCGTGGACACCACGAAACACACACAAATGTGCAACAAGTACTACACACGGCTCTACCTGCACTTACACACACGCACGCACGCGCCATGCATGTGTGTGGGCACGTGTGTTCGTGCATACACATGTGCAGGTGCACACGCCGCACTCACACAGGCTGCTTGCAGACACACGTGCACACCGAGCACACGCGTGTGTGCTCACGCACACACACAGGCAGGAGCCCCATGCCGGTCCCTCCCCTGCCCTCCCTCGGGCTGTGCTTGGCCCTGGAGCCACCTCCCTGCAGGAGATTTCAAAAGACTCTGTTTATACAATTTCTAGTAAAGAAATAATTATTATAATCACATTAAGTGATTTGGCTGTAAAATTCCTGTAAAGAGGACGGCTGTTCTCATGAGGCCGAGGGGCGGGTGGGGGTGCAGGGGTGAGGGGCCGTCTCCAGCTCGGCTGTGCTGGTCCCCCCCCCCCCGCCCTGGGAGGGAAGACAGCCCCTCCGGACGCACAGGGCCTGGTGCTGGTCCTTGACCTCCCAGTGGACTTTTTGCTGAGCTCGGCGGAAACTGCCCTGCACAGTTGTGGCTCCCACATGTGGGGGTGGCGGGGGGGGCTCAGGCCCTTCCCCAAAACAGAACAACAGTCACAGCGGGTGGACCAGGGAGCCGGGCCGGCCGGGGGCCTGGACAGTGTCCCACTCAAACAGCCAGCGGCGCGGGGCTTGCTTTTGGCAAACCAGCGCCTTGACACGGCTCACAGTTTTTGCGGCTTCCCCTCTGCCGGCGCACTGCCGGCCCCTCCACCTCCTCCTGGGGGACACCAGGCCTGAACGGAGCCCTCTCTAGAGCGCCCTGGTCAGGGCCGGGGTGCAGGCCTGGGCGGCAGGAGAGCAGAGGCCCGGCCAAGCCTGGAGATCTCCCCCACCACAGTCTGGGTGCTGAAAGGTGGGCCGCCCCTTCCCTGGGTCTGCACCCTCCTCCTGCCCTCCCTCCGGGGGTTGAGGGGGTGCGTCAAGGCGAGGCATCGGGTGTCCCCCGGCGGAGTGAGGAGGACCCCTGACCCCACCCTGACCCGGCTCTGGCTCTCGCTCAGGTCCCGTGCTTCACGCGACCACAGAATGAGCAAGCCCCGCCTAGAAGCCCCAGAGGGCGTGGGGCTCCCGCCGTAGGGAGCACAGCGAGACGGGCGTCCCGCTCTGGGCCTGGGGCAGGGACGGGACTGACGCCTGCAGCCTCTCCCCATCCCCGGGTCGGCGTCCCAGGCGCAGCGCAGCACGAGGCAGGAGTCTGGGCTGCTGAGCCCCGAGACCAGGGTGGACGCGGGCCACGTGGCTCCTGCGGGCTCCAGGGCCTGCCCAGCCCGGGCCTCTGCCGCCGCCCACCCCTGGGCTTAGGGTGTCCGTGCTTCCGTGCCGCACTCTGTCCAGGGCACCCGTGACAGTGAGAACCTACCGCCCAGGCAGCCGGGCAGCCTGGCCCCCGCGGCCTCCCGCTGCCAGAGGGTTCTGGGGGCGTCTTCGCCCGAGACACACCCTCCCCGGCCTCTCACGTGGTAGGGAGATGAGGGCCACGGAGCAGGGGTCGGGAGCCAGGGCATTTCTGAAGGCCAGCGGGCAGCAGCTGGGGGGGACACCATCAGGCAGGGCAGCTGGACCTGGGAGGGGGCAGGGCAGACGTGCAGGCGGCGCCCAGTGCCACGCTGTCCCTGCGTCCCGTGACCAGCATCCCCAGGGTAGTGAGGGTGGGCGGGACCAGGATGTCGCCCCCCCCCCCCACCCGGTTCTGGGACCAGCCCTCTGGAGACACCCACACCCCAGGTGGGCAGAGCCCGGCTGTCTGCTTCTCCTGTAAGCGCGGGGGCACGCAGGGCTAGGCGTACCTCGGGCTGCCAGACCCGAGCCACAGGCCGGTGCGCGGCCCCCAGGGGCCCCTACAGCTTCGTGCCTCCCCCGCCAGGCCGAGGGGCTGCGGGCGCAGCTGGACGAGGCCCGCCGGGCGCTGGGCGATGAGGCCCATGAGAAGGCCGTGCTGCAGAGCTCCAACGCCGAGCTGCGGGCCGCTCTCCGCAGGGCCGAGCGGGACAAGGCCAGGTGCGAGCCGTGGAGCAGCCGTCGCGGGGCCCTCCCGGCCCCAAACTCCACCCCAGGGGCAAAGCGTGTGGGACGCCCGTGTGCTACTGAGGCAGGCCGGGGGCTGGCTGGACTTGCTAGGCCCCTCGGTGCATTCCCATCTCGCAGCCCACGCAAGTCCCAGGGGCTGGGGAGCAGGGGAGGCGGAGGGGCCTGGTCCAGGGCTCTGGGGGGCCCCCCATGGGAGGGACGGCGAGGCCGAGACTGCACACCTCGCCGAGGGGCATCGGAGGAGCCGGGCTGGGGCCGGACACGGGGTCCCGGGAGTGTGGCTGGCGCGGGGAGAAGGGCGGGGGAGGGTCTGGAGTGCGGAGAGGGGCAGAGCCGGCCAGGCCCCCGGACCCAGTGTGCCCTAGGGGACCTAGGCAGCCCCAGGGAGGCCGGCCTTTGGGACACTCTGCAGCCAGGACACGGGGAGGCCTCTGTCCAGGAGAGGTGGGCGGCAGGAAGCTCTCTGCGGGAGACGCTGGTGCCTAGCCTGGGACACTGCTCAGTTTTCAGAGGTCCAAGGACGAAGGGGAGCAGAAGCTGCTGGTCCTGGAGGAGGCCCGGGCGGCGGCCCAGAAGGAGGCCTGTGAGCTGCGGGCCAGTCTGAGGGCGGAGGAGCAGGCTCACGCAGACGCCCTCCGGGAGCTGGGCAGACAGGTGAGGGCGGCCTTCCTAGAGCCCCGCCCCTGCAGAGACGGGCCCTCCCCCTCCCCCTCCGGTCCCCACTCAGCCAGGTGCCCCCCAGGGCACCCACTGGACCACAGAGCGCGAGCTCCAAGACAGGGCCGCGCTGCCTGGGCCTTTGGAACATTCTGTCCCCACACTCGCAGCCCCAGCGGGAGGGCCCTGCTCAGACCCTTGGCTGGGTCTGCCCCATGGGGTACCGATGACAAGCCTCAAAATTAATGGCTACAAACAACCACTTTGACGCTCATGGACTCTGAGGTCAGGAATGCAGCAAGGGCACAGAGCAGACACCCTGGCTCTGCCTGACGGTGCACGCGCCAGCAAGCCTACAGGGGGACCTGACGGCGGCGCCTGCAGGTGGCTCCGCCCGCATGGCCGTAAGCTGGGCGCCTCCCCCAGCGCTGGCCCGTGGCTTCCTCCCAGCATGGCTGCCTCGGGGCTCAGAGGCCAGCCGCGCAGCTTTCTCTCTCTGTCTCAGCTTCCAAAGTCAAGAGCCACTTACACTGAATTCACTCGGTGTCAAGACCACTCAGAGGAGGGGCCTAGATGCCCCTCAAGGTGGCAGGGAGGCCCGTCCAAGCATCGCAGCCATTTTGCCAAACTTCTGCAGGCTGGGAGTGGTCCTCGGGGTGCAAGAGGCACCGCGGTCCAGGGCTCCCTCCAGACCAGGCATGTGCTGCAGCCCCCTTCCTCTAACCCCCCACAGACCTCCTGGGAGGAAGGTCTAGCACCGTGCTTTCCAGATGAGGACACTGAGGCACAGAGAGTGTGTCGGGCCAGGGCCCCCGTGAGAGCCAGGGAGGAGCCCAGCCCGCTCCTTGCCCGCAGGGTGCCTGGCCTCAGAGAGGAGCAGCTCCAGGAGGCGGTCAGCTCCAAGCGCATGGTCTTGGAGGGCACCCTCACTGTCCACCTCCCCCATCGCCCAGAACTGGACTTGGCCTGAGTGGGGGGGCTGCCCAGGAGGAAGGCCCCTTCCCCAGGACATGCGAGCAGAGGCAGGGGTCCGGGAAGGGCCCGCGACCCCATCGGTGTCACCTGGCACTCGCAGGTAAACATGCTGGAGGCTGAGAACCAGAGAAAGAGCCAGGAGGTGGTCCAGCTTCAGGCTCGGGACGCACAGGGCGCGCAGGAGCAGCAGAGCCGGCAGGAGGTGCTGCACTTGCAGAGACTGGCCTCCGAGGCCGCCCTGGAGGCCGCCCGGGAGGAGGTAGGAAGGCGGGGTGGGGGGGGGTGGGGGGGGGGAGGATGCAGAGGCACAGCGAGGGCCGGGGACGGAGGGCCGCCCAGCCCAGCTCTCGCCCACGAGCACTGTGTGGGTCAGTCTGCTCGTCTTCCGTCCCGCGTCCCAGGGCGCTGAGTGAACAAGTGCAGTGAAAGTGGGGTTCTCGTGCTTTAGGAAGGGACCGTCACCCCCAGGGCAGTGACAGGCTCGGGGGAGGCAGCCAGGCTCCCAGCTGGAGGCCACAGAGCCTCTGCCAGAGGGGGTGATAGTGACCCGGTCTATTCCCTCATTCGCTCACAGGTATTTAGAGGCACCACCCCAGGGGCTCAGGGGCTCAGGTCAGGCCGTGACCAGGGTCGGCAGCAGCAGACAGGGCGGCCTCATGGGAAGCGATGGCATGGGTGTGGCTACAGAGGGGCAGGGGGTCAGGGCGGGCCCCTCCGCGCCCAGGCCAGGCCACCAGACCCGAGGGAAGAGGGTGCCCCCGCGGGGCTGTAGTGAAGCCAGGGCTACAGAGTGGCCCAGGCCAAGAGAGGCCGAGGAGCAGCCACCCAGAGCCCGAGCCCGCGGGTGCTGTGCGCCCCCCGGAAGGCCCGGTCCCAGGACAGTGCTGACCCAGCCTTTGCTACCCACAGGCCAAGAGCACGGCGGATGAGCACGGGGCTGGCTAGAGGCAGGAGAGGCGGGAGGGGGCAGCCCAGGGCCGCAGCGGGCTGGGGGTCCACGCGGGACGTGCTCTGCGGGCCTGAGGTGTCCCTCCCCACCGGCGCTCAGCGCACCCCACTGCCAAACACAGGCCTCGAGGCAGGCCCGAGGCCCCCGGCTGTGACGCGCCAAGGCGGGAAGTGAGGCTGCGGGGGGCCCGGCCGGTGGCTCGGGGACACGAGCCCTGGCGCCCCTCCCGCAGGTCCTGAGGCTGCGGCGGAAGCTGGAGGAGCTGGAGGCTGGAGCCAAGGCCCGCGAGCGGCAGCTGGAGCAGAGGCTGCGCCAGAGCCAGGGGGCTGAGCGGACCCTCCGGGCTGAGCTGCGCGCCGTCACCGGGAGGCTGCAGCAGGCCGGCGGCGTGGCCGATGGCCTCCAGGCTCGCCTGGACGAGGCCGGCCGCCGGACCCACGGCCTGGAGCGGGAACTGGCCCGGGCGGAAGGCGCCAGGCGGCGTTCGGAGGCCCAGCTGGGCCGGCTGTGGTCCACGTTGTGCCGCGGCCTGGGGCTGCGGGGACAGAGCCCCCCGGGCTCACCCGAGAGGCCCTGCTTCCCCAGGACAGGTCAGTGTCCTCAGCGGCCTTGGGGAGGCTGCTGTCCCGGCTCTGACACCCACCCAGGACCCCCTCTCCTCACAGCCCACACAGCGAGGGGCCCGGACCCTGTGCCCCCCAGAAGCTCCCTGGGGGTGGGGACAAGCGGAGAGAAGGCACCCGCATGCCTGTCCCCACCACGTCCCCACACTCCCGCTGTCGTGCAGGCTCCGATGGCTTCCAGAGCGCCAGCCCCCCCGCCAGGTCCCGCTCGCCACTCCGATGGCCATCACCGGCACCCGGGGACCAGTGCCCGGAGGTGGACGTGGCCTCTGTGCGCGAGGCCCTGACGGACCTGGCGCAGACGCTGCAGGCTGCCCGGAGGGAGCGGGTAAGGGGGTGGGGAGGACACGCCCGGGGGACGCTGGCCGTCACTCAGCACTCAGGTCTGCTGAGACCCTGGCAGGGTCCCAGTGCTCAGACTGCCCCTTGGTGGGTGTGATAAAGAGCAATAAACACCACAGTCCCTCCAGACTCAGCGGCCCCCAAACACCTCAGGGCCTCTTCCCTCCCTCCCTCCCAACGGGCAGCGGAGCCCCTGGCACCAGGTGCCGCTGTGGTGCCCGCCGGAGTGCAGGTCAGCACGCCCGAGCCCCCCAGACCTCCGGCCGGACACCTCGGCCCCCACTCATCCAGCGGGCTGCCCCTGATCCGGGTCCTTCCGCCCAGGATGACTGGCACTTCCGAGCGGTGAGCCTGAGCGGCCTGCTGAGCGAGGCGGAGCGCGAGCGAGCCCAGGCCCAAAGCCGCGCGGGGCGGCTGCAGAAGGCACTGGCACAGGCGGAGGAAGGTGACCCCCTTCCCTCGCCCCGTCCCCAAGGACCCGGAGAGGGCCACGCTGCCGCCTCCTAGGGCTCCTCGAAGCGCCCCACCCTGGCGGCCGGGAGGGTGCTGTCCCGGGGCTGCTCAGGCATGGGGCAGGGTGTCCCCCGGGGTGGCCGGCCCCTGGCCACTGGTCGGGTGTCCTCTCACAGGGGCTTCCCACGTCCGGGGGACACAGTCCAGAGACCTTGCAGACCGCGTCCCACCATGCTGGCCTCCTGCAGCCGATTCCGCAGTCACGAGGCCCATCTCCCCATCAGGTCTCCCACCCCCATCACTGCAGAGAGCACCCCGCCCTGCTGGTCACCCCACTGCATCACCGCGCCCCCCTTAGCGGGTCTGCCCAAGGCGTGTCTGGAAGGAGGGATGTCTGTGGAAGGAAAGAACGTGGGGAGGGGGAGGGGCAGGCAGAGGGGGCCAAGACCCCAGACCCACCCCCGGGGGCCCTCGAGCAGCAGGGAAGTGTCAGGGGAGGGGGTCCTCCAGCCCCCACCATCTAGCTCCCAGGCACTTACACTCAGCAAGCCTGAGTTTCCTGGCCTGTGAAATGGGTGGGGGGACCCCCATGTGGTGGCCGCACAGGCCTTGGGAGCCAGGCATCACCTGCTCGCCCCACAGGCTGGCACCAGGCGGAGGGCGAGAGGAGCAGTGCCCAGGCGGCGCGCGCCCTGCAAGCGGAGACGCTCCGGGGGCTGGAGGAGGAGCACGTGGCCGGCACGCGGAGGGCAGGCCGGGAGAAGCGGAGGCTCCAGGTGGGCACACAGCTGGCGGGGGCCTGGGGACAGGGCGGGGAGGGCCCTGGGGCCCCCGCGGGCAAAGCACAGCCGGGCTGGAGCAGGTGGCCTGGAGGGACGTGGCGGCCCCACAGCGCCCGTCGGGGGCACCCTCCTGACAGAGCTGTCTCAGGTGGCCCCGGCCCTTGTTTTGCAGATTAGGGAAACTGAGTCCAAGGCAGGGGGCGACTTGACCCCCATGAGAGCTGGCGAGGCCAGAATCCGGGGCAGACTCCCAGGGCAGGAGGGGCAGGGCCGCACTCCATTTTACGTGTGTGTTCACAAGGGTGTGTTCTGTGCGTGCTGGAAAATAACGCTTTCCGTCTGCAGCTTACACATTGTGAAATGTTTGTACCAAGTCCACCTCTACAAACACGCCAACCACATACTGCATGTTGGACCCGTCCCCTGAGTGACAGCCAGGAGTGATGTGGGCGGGGGGGGGTCAGAGCTCCTTTCATCTGTAAGGGTCCTTGGTGTATAGATTCTGGGACACGTTCTTCAGAATCAGAGCTTCTCGGCTGCTCTGCCTCTTTGCAGCCTAGACTCCCCGTGTCTGTTACCTGCACCGTTTGCCCTGAACCTGATGTACCTGCACCTGCACAGCCACCCCCCACTCCCAGGTTCCAGCCCCGAGCCCCCACCCTGTATGTTTTCGGTCACCATTCATCGGCCTGACCTTGATTGCAAACCCACCTGGGAGTCTGTGCCTTTTCCGAAGGAATTTATCCCACTTAGAAGTTTTGCAATAATTTCTTTGCTCTGGTTTCCTTTGGTTGCTGACAGTATGTTTGCTGATTTGATGCTTCCTCGTGACTTCCACGCCAGCCTTTTATTTCAGGCGTATGTGCTCCCCCTGCCCCTCCACGGGGGCGGCAGTGGCGCAACAGCGAGCACGGCAGCCAGCATGTCGCCGGCTGTGCACAGGGGACGCCCTCATGCTCCCGCCCCCGCCAGCAGGGGCTCTCCTCTGGGCCCTCCCCTGCTGCAGACGGCCCTGCCTCCACCTCTCTTCTAAGTGCCCGGTGGGGGTCCGTGAAGGGCCTGCCCCTCCTCCCGTCTGCAGACCCCAAGGGTTTGTACTCACAGCAGCCCACACTGCGTTCCTTTCCACCTGCTATGCAGCCATTGCCACAGACCGATGACCAAACCCCATGTGTGAGCTGCCCATCCTACGGGCCCAAGGCCCATGGGGCACAGCGGGGTCCCCTTGGCAGGGGGGTCACACTCTGGGCGTGGGGGCTGCATCCTCACCTGAGGCCCCATTGCAGACTCATCAGCACGTGTTTCCCAGCTGAGCAGGAGCAGCTTCTGGAGGCTTCTCTGGCTCCTGGCTTGGGCCTTCCCATCGGCCCTCACGACAGCGGGGCGGCGGCAGCAGGACCCTCACACGGCTCCCTTCCCCCACTCAAACCCCACGCCTGCTGCTCTGCCACCAGCCCACGGGGCCATGGTGAGAGTAACCGGGCCACCTGGGTCATCCCCATCTGGTTAACTCAGCCAGCTGAGGAGTCCCCTCAATCACCTCTGCAACATGACCTGATGTGGCCGCGGGGTAGCCCCGGGGCCGTGGGGCGCAGGCCTGGTCAGGACTCCACCCTCCACACCTCGCATCAGCAGGTCAGCAGTTCGCAGGGCAGGTCAGCAGGTCGGCGGCTGCCCTGACAGTGAGGCTCACACCCCATCTCTCCGGGAGGGGCCTGTTTCTACTCAGACTGCTTTTCTTGTTTGCCCTGTGACCCCAGGCTCAGATGGTTCCAGAAAGGTCACGTCTAGGTGGTGTGAATTGTTCCTTCCAGAGTGGAAGCCAGAAGGCCTGTTTATATTGGAAATCCAAAAATGTCCCCAAAACGTGGACTTGTGTCCTCCGTTATCTCAGCCTGTGTGTAGGGAGCCCCCTCTGCTTGCAAAGTCGAATCTGTCTTCGGTCGATGCACGTCATTTCCACCCAAAACCCATCTCTTCCCCCCGACCCTCTTCCCAGCCTTTTGTCCTGAAAGGCACTGCAGCCCAAGGGTGCTCCCTGGGCCTTTTCCTCCGTGCTGATCTTGGACGTCACCTTCCCGTCGCTGGCTCTGCGCCACGTGCCGGAGACCTTAGGGTCTTCACCCAGGTTAGCTCATCTGACTTCCGGGTCTAATGCAGTCCCTGTCTTCAGGCCTGGATTGGGGCTCGTGGGGCTTCGGGGGGTTTTTTCCTTCTTTTTATTTTTAGAGTGTGTGCAAGTGGAGGGGGGGAACAGAGGAGGAGGAAGAGAGAGAGAGACAGAGAGAGATTGACAGAGAGAGAGAGAGAGAGAGAGAATCCCAAGCAGGCTCCACAATCAGTGCAGAGCCAACACGGAGCTCGATCTCACGAGCTGTGGGATCGCGACCTGAGCCGAAATCGGGAGTCAGACGCTCAACCAACTGAGCCCCCAGGCGCCCCTGCTCCTTGCGTTTTTGATCTCGATTATTCCACTCTGGGTCCCCACCCCCGTCTCCCCTTCAGGAGAGCGTCAGTGAACACTTTCTGACACGGGTTCCCATTTCTTGCAATAACTCTGTTCCCTTTTAATTCAATACCCTCAGCCCTGACCCCTCGGATCGACTTTGTCTCTGAACCACAGTTGATTGCTACTATCGAGATTTTCTGCTCTGCCCGTCTTCAGAGAAGGGGGCTGGTCTTGTTCAAAGTCAGTAGTGGAGAGAAACCCACCTGGGACGTGACATGTCCCGGCCCAGATATTTCGGGCCCAAACTGAAAGGCAGAGAGAAAGGGGGACCCATGGGGAACCACGGGGGCCTGGGAGGCCGTGGGGGGGGGGAGGGCAGCGGGGGGACGGTGGGGTGAAGGCCCTGTCCTCAGGGGCATGGCTGGCTGCGGCGGCTGGGGCCCCCCCCCCCCCCCGCTCGGTTCCTGCCAGGGGCCTGGGGGCCTGTGGGACCCCGTCCTTCCTGGCCTGCCTCCGGCCCTAGCCCTGAGTCAGCGTCGCCGAGGTTCTGTGAGGTTTGCACACGTGGGTGCAGAAGGCTCTCCCGGCTGTTGCCCAAACCTTCTCGACCCCGGTTACTTTCTCTGCTTCAGAATCTACTCAACTTTTCAGTGAAGGCCTATGTGCCAAACTCTGTCCACTGTTCTTAGAACTCCAGCAATTCTCACTTTTAGGCCACCTGGTCTGTCTGCCTCCACCTCGTGGGAACCCCATGTCTGAGCTCCAGGTCTGAGAAAGGTTTTCCCCAAGTTCTTAATATTTATTTATTTATTTGAAAGAGAGAGTGTGTGAAAAGGGGAGGGACAGGGAGAGAGGGAGACGGAGGACCTGAAGCAGGCTGTGCACTGTCAGCACAGAGCCTGACACGGGGGTCCAATCCACGAACCACAAGACCTGAACAAAGTCAGGTGTTCAACCAGCTGAGCCACGCAGGTGCCCCAACCCAATTTTTTAACCTGCTGGCCACTGAGGAGGGCACCTGGGCGAGGGGTTCAGACACAGACACACCTAAGGCCTGGAGGCCCCAGGCCCTTTGGACGAACAGCAAATCCCAGCTGCAGTGTTTGCAGCCAGCGAGGGGCTCAGGACGCGTGGCCACACTCCCCACCGCTCAGGCCCCACCGCGTCCGTGCGGCTCCTGAGCCACCAGCATGTGTAGAGCAAGGTCTGCATCTGACACGACTGCTTTCACTTTCATGGCTGACGTTCCCCCCCGCCCCCGCCCCCCACCCCCATTTCACATGAGCCAATGTGTTTGTCAAGAGAAAGTTAATTAAAAACATATTTTCCTAATTAAATGGTAGGCTGTGCTATGCAAACAGTAAGATTCTTGTTTGAGAGCAAATCCCTCCCCGTTTCCAGGGCTACCCTGGGAATTCAGTAGATCAACAGAGCAGCACTGAGCCCAGAGCACCAGGACTCGCGCCCAGCACAGCACCCGGGGGTCCTCAGCAAGCGGGGGGGCGTGCACGCACACCGCCCCACGGTGTCGCCCCGCCAGAGGCAGGTCACAGCCTCCCCGGCTAGAGGACCTCGTGGTACCCAGCCTGACGCCCCCCCGGCCCTGCAGCACCCTCTCCTGAGCACGCTCCTCCGGGGCCCAAACAGCGTCAGTCACGCCCCAGAAGCAGGGTCGGAACCGCAGGGCCGCAGGGCCCACCCGAGCCTGGAGTCCACGCCCACGCTTAGCATCTGTATCCCCTTAGGGCGCCGTGTTTACCGACGTCGGGGGCTAAGATTATTTTACCCTCATGCAATGTAGTGGTGAGCTTTCCATCTTTTCCGTCACCTGCAACACACGGACTGGCCCGAGTTCAGGTCCCCCCAGCGGACGCCCGGCACCTCCGCTCACTCCATAATCCACCTCACCGCCTCCCCCTGCCTCTCCCGCGGGCCGCCACGGCCTGCCTCTCCGCTGCCTCTCCCTTGGGCGGCTTCTGTCATCCGGGGGCCTTTTCCACCTGGTATTTTTAAACGCCGAGGATGCGCAACGTGACTTGACGTTTTACCGCGCCCGCAGCTCCGTCGGTAGCCGGACCTGCTTCGTCCCGGAGGCTCTGTCTTCTTTACCCGCGGCTGGATCGGAGCCTGGGCGTCGGAGGTTTCCGTCTGCTTCCCGTCGCCTGACCGGCCAGCAGCTCCTCGGTTTTACTGTCTCTTCAAAAGAACCAGCTTCACCTCCTCTCTCATTTTTGCCCACAACCCTTCCTTCCGGCTTGTGTTAACGTCCTCTCTTTGGTTTTTGTAACTCCCTCGTTTCTTAGACCGAGTAAGTGACGTGTTTATGGCTGGGCCTCCTCCCTCGGTGGAGGCTTCCGCACTATCGGCTTCCTTCCTTGGGGGCCCGTGTGTGCCGCGGGTTTCTGACATGAATTCTCTTTATCTTTGCCACTTTTCTAAGAGTTTCCGTTTTTACTTCTTAGAAGAACGTTTGTGCCTCTTTCCGCGGCTGCGCCGAGCCGTACCGCTGAGCGGGGAGGCTCCGTGCGGGTCTGTGTGGATGGTCCTGGTTTGTAGGTTGTTTGTTGGTTTGGTTGGCTCTCTTGGTTTGGTTTTGCCTAGTTGTTTACGGTAAGTTTGGAGGGAAACTGGGCCAAGTTTACGGGGAAGAATAGATGTTTGAGATTTTTAAAGGAAATTTTGAACAACAGTAAACCAGATGACAAGACTAGGATGGTCAGGGCGGGAGAGCGGGCACAGAGGGAGGCAGGCGGCGAGGAGTCCAGAGGCGTCTGGCACCGGACCCTGGGCTCCTGTACGGGCACCGGTGCCCCCTCCGTCTAAGCACTTCCCGGTGCTGAGGCCTTCCCGGGCCCGGCCTGGGGGATCTGGGCTCCGAGGCTCCCGGAGGCAGGACCCTGTGCCCGCCTTCCTGCAGCACTGGGACCCTCATACTGAACCTGGGTTTGTGAGGCTCGCTCGCCCAGCCCACGCCTTGTACAGTATCAGGACCCAGCACCCAGGCGACACCAGAAATGAGACTAACTCAGTGGTGCACCAGCTGACGTTCGTAGAAGGTGCACCGTGCAATTATTACGGGTAATCTGAGTTCCTTACAAGAGGAGCATAATCCTTCACACAAGTGGTTCGGGCCTCTTTAAAATACCATGAAATATTTAAGCCATGTTTGAAGGAAACCTCTGCATTTCTACTGGAAATGTGCACACACAGGAAATAGTAGGTTTCAGGTGTGCAGTGAAGGGTGAGTCACTGCAGTTTTAGGCACAAGCATCGTCCCCACTGTCCGATTCTAAAGTACTCGAGCATCAGACAGAAAGAAGGATGTCCAGGGTCAGCCCAGCGGCCCTTCCCCCAGCAGGCACGACAGCATTTGTGACGACCGAGTGAGTGAGAGAACGGACGGGGAGGGGCACGACCGTGTGAACGCCCCTCGCTGGCCCGACCGGGCCCTGCGGCTGCAGGCCTCATCAGGGCATTCCTGCTCCTGGCCTTCCCTCCCTGGCTCCGCGCCCAGTTTCCCTCTTCCTAAACGAGCCCCGCTTGCCCCCCACCCCACTCGCCTCTCTGCAGGCCCAGTCTCCCCTCCCCCCACCAGGCTTCTGGGAACAGCTGCCCCTCCCACCACCCTCACACACATGTGCGAAGGTCACAAGCAACATTTGGTCTCATCCAAAGGGTCCTTTATGGGTCTATGTCTCCCCAACCTCCTGGGGGATTCCACAGAGGGGTCACCTGTCCCTCCCTCCTCTAGAACATCCCCCTGGCCCGGGACCTGCTCCCTCCCCCCTGCTCCCCTCCCACCAGGGCAGCCCTCCCCTCCCTGGGCCATCCAGAGCCACCTGGTTCTATGACTCCTGGGCAGCTTCTCAACACTGAACTCTGACCCTTCACCCCCAAATGCGCCCACCAGCGGCTCGTCAGCCCCCACACGGCCCCCCGGAGCTGTCTCTAAGATTTCAAGTCACATTCTTTCACTTCTTGCCCCTTGAGTCCAAGCTCCCACGGGCCCCAGAGTCCCCCAGAAGCACACCTCTGCCTTCCCTGTCAGCCCCCAAAGCACCAGCTGGTGTGACTCCCGGTTTTCCGGAGTCCGAGGTACCAGAAGGCACAGGCCACTTGCCCCACGAAACACTCAGGAAGATTCAAATGCAGGAGGCTGGCCTGGCCTTACCTGCGTCACGACGTGCAGGTGGCCACCGGGCAGGCAGACTCGCAGGGGCACTTGTTTGCTTACCAGAGCTCTCCAGGCCCACTGTGCGCCGCTCCGGGGCCCAAGAGACACAACAGGCGCTGTCCTCCTGGGACGGCCCCGAGCAGCGGTGACAGGGACGGTGGCTGACAGACGGCCAGGCGTGGCCGCGGGGCCACGAGGATGGCGGGCAGCAAGAGGCTCTCAGCCGAGGGGAGCAGGGTGGGTGCATGTTCCCTCCTTCGTCTTCATCTCGAGGGGAGCGGGGAGCCACTGCAGGCTCAGAGCAACCACACGGCACAACTCACGCTGCGGGCTGAAGGTGTGGCGCGGCACCCGTGGGCGTGCCTGGAGACAGAAGAGCGAAGGCGTCACAAGAGCCCAAGCAGGGATGACACTCTGGGCAGCCCGAAGGCAGAGGGGCCCAGGCCTGCGCAGGGCGGTGCGTGGGCGTCAGGGACTGGGGAGGGGGGCGCATCCCACCAGTCTGGGATCAGTTTGCACCCAGTGTGTCCAGGGGCCCCATGGGCCAGGGAGCAGAGGCCTAGGGGGGATGCTCCTGGGGACACCGCAGGGTCAGAAGTGCTGGGGGGGGGCACACAGGCTGAGCCCCACGGGCTCCTGAGCTGGGGACGCTACCAGACTCTTGGTCACAGGGCTGGCAGCAGGGGAGGGCCACAGCAGGGAGCCTGCCAGGGGGCCCTGCCTCAGCGAGTCCTGCACTGCGGCCCCCTCCCCACCACGGCTCCAGCGGAAGCTGCCTGATCCGAGCTCGCTGTACTTGACCTGTCCTTGCGTTTTTGCATCCCTGCGACCCCAGCGCCCTGCAGGCAGGGGCTTCTCCCTCCCGGAGCACACCCCCAGGCCGCGTGTCCAGGACACCCCGCCATTCCTTCCCGCAGGAGCAACCGGACACTCCGCACGGCGCTCTGGCCGAGAGCAGGAAGCTCAGCCAGGGCCGGGCCCAGAGGAAGCTGCTGGAAGCGCAGGTGGCGCGCCCGGAGCGCAGGTGCCAGGAGGCCGGGGGCAGGCTGGAGCCCCCCAAGGTGAGGGGCCCGCAGGGAAGGGGGCCGGGCAGGAAGGAGGGTTCCGGGAGATGCCCACACACCGCAGCTGGCAGCCGGGGAAACGGAGGCGGGAGGGAGTCAGAGGCCCAAGGTCTCGCCCCAGGTTCCGGACGCGACCCCACAGCAGAGGGCCGGCCGCGGAGCGCTGCTCGGGGGGACGGACGGGGAGCCGCGGGCCAGGCGGCAGCCGCGTGGGGGCGCCTCGTCCCGCGGAGCACACGCCGCGCCCCTGCCGGCCCGCCTGCAGGGGGAGCTCGCGGGGCAGCGCGCGCGGGGGAGGTGGGCGGGGCTTGGCTGCGGGGGGCGGGGCGGGGCGGGGCGGGGGCCCCTGGAGGGGCGGGCGGAGGCGTGGAAAGGGGAGCATCCCGTGGGGGGCCAGGCGGGGCACCCCTCTCCAAGCTCAGGGCCACCCTATAGACTGTCACCCCACGCCTGGCGGTGACGCCCCGCTTCCTTTCCTCTCCTCCCCTATGGCACCCGGGCCATAGCAAATCGCGGGCTTTGTCCCCAGTATCTGGGCCCCAGCCCCGCAGGGAGCCGTGTGGCCTGGCACACTGCCCGCCCCTGGAGCCCCAGATTCTGCTGTCCACGTTGGAAGTGACCCCAGGCCCGGGGAGTGCCCTGCAGACGGGGCCAGGCCACGGCTGGGGTGGGCACGGGCCTGCGCGGTGGGAGACCGGGAAGGCCCGCCGTCGGGGGAGAAGCCCGTCTCCACGCAGGGCAGCGTGCAAGACAGGGTCGCAGCCAAAGCTGTCGAACAAAGGCAGACAAGTCCATCAGGCGGCAAGGCAGGGCAGCGAGCCGGCCCCCAAAGGTGCGGAGACAACGGGGAGGCAGCGAGGCCGAGGGGCCCGCTCGCCAGTAATTCTGACAGCGGTCCTCGGAGGGGGCGGATCTGGTCTCCGCGTATGAAACGGGTCACAGTGCGGCTATTCAGGTTGAAATTAGGGGCAGGGGTCACCAGGGGTCTTCCTGGGGCCCAGCTTGACTGAGGAGGAAACTGGGGCCCAGAGAAAGGAAACCAGGCAGAACACCGCCCAGGCCCCACGCCCACGCATGGCGCTGTGGGCCCCCCGGCGGGCGCCTGCTATGGAGGGGCCCTCCCCTCACACGGTCTGTCGCCTGTGACGGAGTTACACCCTCACAGTCCCGTCTAGGGGCACACAGGCTGGGGACTCGAGCGGGGAATATGGTGGAATCAGGCAGCAGGGGAGGTTGGGGACAGCCTTTGCTGGGCTGATGACCCTTCCCGTTCAGCAAGCCCACCTACAAAGTGGGGAAAGCAGGAGTCCGGGCGTTGGGAGGGGTGCTGAGGGCCTCAGCCACGGTCCCCAGGGTAGGGGCCTTCCTAAGGCTTCATCCTGGGCCCCATCTGGGCAGAAACCCCCAGGGCTGTCCCCTAGAGCAGGGGCCTGAAGCAGGTGGGCAGAGGAGGAGCATGCGGACACGACCCTCCCGGCTCGCGCCAGTCGGGCTGCAGCGCTGGCCCCCAGCAGAGGTGTGGGAGGCACGTGCCAACAGGGGCTACGGGGAGCCGGGCCCGGGGGAGGGCGTTTGTCATTCTGGGCGGCTCGGGGAGGCAGCACCCAGCCAGGGCCTCCCAGGGGGACGGTGGGGAGGGTCCATGTTAAATGACACAGCCTCACAGGTCGGTAGGAGCCACCTCCCGTCCAGGAGACCCCTGAGCTGGCCGCTGCGTGCCCTGCCCACTCACCTAGACCCGCGGGACCGGCTTTACATGGGACAGGCTGGTCTGCGCGGTGGGGCCCGAGGGTGGAAGGGCCAAGGGACCACACAGGCCGGGCGTAGCCTCACCAGCACCGAGTCGTTGCCCACGGAATGAATGACGAGACACTGGGTGCCCAGAGCTCGCAGACTTTGGAGGACAGAGGGGCCAGCGCAGCGTGCGGACACCAGCAGGGAGTGGAGGACAGAGGCCACCAGCCACGGCAGGAGCAGGCCAGCGGAGTCATGCCACAAGCAAGATGCAGACCGGGGGTGGCGGGGTCCCTCTGGGGCTGAGGTCGGCCTTCAAAGCCTTCCCGGTGCCCAGCTGGCCCCAGCCTCTCTCTCACACGGAGGGTTGGCTCGGCTCCGGCTCGGCCCCACCAGGTGAGGGCGCTGCTGGGCCTGAGCCCTCCAGCAGGGTCTGCCCAAGCCTGTGTGAACAGCTGTCCTGGGCCAGGCCCTGGCCACCAGGCCACACCGTCCAGCTGACGTGGACTCAGGGACAAGTGGGTTTTCCAGAGGGGAGTGGCCAGGTCAGCGGGGTGGCAGTTGGGGGCAGGGACCCTGGGAACAGGATGCAGGCACAGGGGTCAGAACAGTCACTGGAAGCCACTGGCCAGCTTGTCCACGCAGGGCCACCTGCCCTCCCAGGAAGGAGGGTCGGCCAACCCGTACGGTCACAGTCATGGTCACCATCATGGTGCTTCTCCTGAAGGGCGGCCCCGACACGGAGCTGCCCAGTCAGGGGAGCCCAGGCCTCCAGGGCAGCGGAGCCAGCTGTGGGCCCCCGAGGCCCACGTCGGGGAGGGGACGACAGGCTAATGAGTTCCGGGAGGTCAGCTGTGAGGGGCCTCCAAACCCATAAACCCTTTATTGGTGTCTCAGGAGGGGAAACCCGGATGTGGCCGTTTATTTATTTTGGATTTCACTTTTCTCTTCTCTTCTTAACATGCGCTTCCAGGAGTGTAACTGGATTTTTAAAGAAACAGGACTTCCTTTTGCAGTGGAAGTGGACCCTTTGTTTTTCTCACCCCTGAAGAAGAAAGAAGACCTTATTTTTGTAACGCTGTTCTCCTGTCACTGACCGAATTACTTTACCGGCAAGCAGAGCTGCCTTGTCTCCGGGCCTCGGTGACAGAGGGCACGGGGCAAGAAGACACGGAACAGAGGAGTGGCCTGGTGCCCTAGCTGCCCCCGCCAGGCAGTGGGACGCGGCTCGAGCCAGCGGGACCCACTGGGCGGGTGGGCAGAGCAGGGTAGAGGAGGGGGCCCGGCTTGGAGAGCAGGGCCTGCGTTGGGATCTCACCCCAGCACCCGCCCATGGGCTTCCAGAAGGAGATCGTCCACGTGAAGCACCCACGAGGCAGGACCTGGGGTGTCCGTGCCTTCCTCTGAAAGGATCACCCACAAGGGATGAAAGGAGCCCCCACCAAACTTCCCACTGAAAGCGGTTGCTTCCTCAGTCCCCTGACACGGACCCCGTGCCCTGCGCCCGGCATGCTGGAGAAGGCCACCAAGAAGGGGGCTCCCCTGGGGCAGCTTGCAGCCCCCAGGAAGCCAGATGGTGGGGACACATCCCACGAGCTGGCTCTGGGTGCCCGAGTGCAGGGGTCAGCGCTCCATGGGGCCAGGGCAGAGCCGGACGGGCACCTGGGCAGCAGGCCGGGGAGGCCACCCCACGAGATGGAGCCATTCCCCTCCCCCACTGGACCCCGTGCTCCTCCTTCAGCCCTCTCCCTGGCTGCAGGGCCCCCCTCTGCCCAGCCCGCTCTCAGGGGACCCAGAGTCCTTTCTGGAACCTCCTTTCCAGAGGGGAAAGCTGGCCTGACCCCACCCCCTGCCAGGAGGCCCCTACGGACTCTGCCACCTGGGCTCTTGCAGATAGAGCAGGAGATGCTGAGGAAGGAAGGAGACGCGGCGAGGCCGGGGGCCCGGAGGGAACCAGGGCGCCAGCCCGTCGGGGGCCTGCGCCAGGAAGGGGACAGGGCGCTGAGGCACCACCAGCAGCGGCAGGTCAGCTGGGCCAGCCCCGGGGGTGCACCCAGGGGCAGGGAGTGACCGGAGGGTCTCGGGCCCGTACGGATGCGCGCACACGGCCCGGAAGGCCCGGCTGGGCCACTCCCACACCGACGGTCTGGTCGCAGAGACCCGGCCCCAGGCGACATGGGGTCTACCAGGCTCACAAGCGACGGTCAGGCAGGGGCGGAACCAGGCCCCAGGCCCCTCCTGGCCTCCACTGCAGGCCCCGCGGGAGAGCCGGTGCGAACAAGGGAGCTTGTGCAGAACCGAGCTGACCGGGGAGGAGCGAGGGAAGCACAGGGCCAGGCAGGCCTGTGGGCAATCCGGGACCGCTCCTGTGTCTTGGGGGGCATCCCTCCTCCCACCGCTGGCCAGACCCCTACCTCCACTCAAGGACTTGGCAAGAGAGGCAGGGGGCAAGAGTCATTCTGTGATGACCACGAGAGCCCCCCTGCCCCCCGCCAGCCACGCAGAAACTAGGATGCTAGGGAAACAGCTGTGAGGCCCCGCCTGCAGGCCTGGGAGGGGCTCAAGGCCAGACAGGCCCAGGGGCTGAATGTGCTCGAACCCCTGGGCCGGGCCAGCGGGGGGCAGCAGAGCCAGCGGGGGGCTGAACACCCTGTCTGGACTCTGCGCGGCACTCTGGCAGGTGGGCAGCCCCACCCGGCTCTCACCCTGGGCCCAGAGGGCGGCTCGGGAGCTGGCCCCTCAGCACCGGCAAGGCCCGGCCGCGGACCCCAAGCAGCCACACGGGCCTTGGAGTGCGGGGAGCAGACCCACCAGTGGCAGGTGAAGGTCCCAGGGGAGGAAGCGGGGCTGGACCTCAGCACCCAGGCAGGGGAGGGGTCAGGAAGGACGGGCACCCTGTAGCAGCACACGGCAGGGGTGCCTCCCTGGAAGGCCTTTTGGAAGGGGGGGGTCCCAGCAGTACTGCCCGGAGGGCCCCGGCCACCCCCAGGGGCTCTCACAATTCCATCCAGTCACTGGCACCAAGCACTGAGGGGCAGAGCAAGTAATCTGGGACCCACCACCACCCTCTCTATGCCTCCATCGCCCTGCCCTTAGGAGAAGTGGTAAGGACAGCTCCTGGGTCAGAGGTCACTGTGGGTCAAGTGTCCAACAGTGCCTGGCACGTGGCCGTTGGAGCAGAGGTGGCCCCTGCACGTATCTGTCGGAGTCAGGAAGGTGTATGTGGGGACGAGGTGGGGACGAGGTGGGGACGAGGCATGGCAGGGACTGCCCCACCCCCACCACACACGTACACACACCTGCTGGGGCTGACCCTCGGGCTCCTGGGGGCCGCCTGGTCAAAACCTCATTTTATAGCTGAAACCCAGAAGGGTAAAGTGACCACCCAGTGTCACCCCCAAGTTACTGTCCTTAACCCACCAAGCCACATTTGCCAAATTTATAAGCCAAGCAGCATGTATTTCCTTATCGTTCCGGGCGCATTCATGGCCTGAATGGAAGGGGTCCGTCCACTGCGGGTGTGCGGTGGCTTCAGTCCCCAGACCCGCTGGGTGCGTGTCCCCCACCAGCGCGGCCTCAGTCCCCAGACCCGCTGGGTGCGTGTCCTGACGAGTGTGGCTCCGCACATTCCCGACGTGGCAGCCAGCAAGTGGGCCCGCCTGCCTGGTGTTTCTCCCAGACACCCGCCTCTCCTCAGGACCCCAGAGCTCTCCCCGACCACAGGCGGGGGGCCTATCGCCCCCCCCCCCACCGGAGCCCCTGCCCTGTCTCCAGGTGGCCAGTCTGAAGAAGCAGCTGGACCAGGAAGTGCCTCGGAAGCAACAGGCCCCCCTCGGCCAGGCCTTCCGGGCCAAAAAGTGAGCCGTACTGCAGAAGCCCCCAGGGTGGCCAGACCGCCACAGCGCTGACCGGACAGGCAGAGCCGCCACCGGGAAGACGGCCGCCTCGCCTTCCGCTGCTCAGAGGGTGCAGTGCAGGCAGCCACGCCCAGAGCCCGCCACGCCCTCCTGGAGTCCAATGCCAGCAGGCGCCCTGCGATTCCACGGAGCACCATGCTCCCCCCGGCCCTTGGGACATCCACCCCTGCGCACCCTGGACCGTGCTCCGGGATGCTCCTCCCGGGTGCCCCCCTACCCCCAGCCTGGCACTGATCTGGCCAGACCCTGGTAGCCAGGCCCCATCGGGCCTGCTTCCTCGGCCACAGGCTGCATTCCATGCCCTCAGCTCTATAAACACGGGGAAACACGTGGAAAATATTTCCACCAACTGGAGCCAAAAACATAATGTCCTGCAAGGCCCAGCCACCACTTTCCTCCGTCCAGAGGCCGCGGGACCTTCTGTATCCAGGAACTGCAGGTCCATCACAGTGGCAGGTGGCTGGAAATGACTCAGAATCCAGTCCCTGTGACTCGCCGGCCACGGGAAACACTGGCCGGGAGAGCTGGAGCTGTTACAGAAGCCCCCACTTTTCCAGCCTATAAACTCTGGGCAAACTCCTGGAGGGGGGGATCCTGCCCTGTTACTATGGAGACCGAGGCGGCCATCTTGGGCCTCTGTGGGGTTCACCTGTTAGCATTTTTACCCTTTCCCCCATGAACCTCGGCCAGAGAGATTTGTTTTCCTCCCAGAACGGCCTCCCTTGTTCTGTAAGTGGCACGTTCACAGCGCGGGGCACCAGCCAGCCCACTGCGCCCCTGTGCCCCTAGGTGCGGGCTGCCCTCCAGGACTCCTGGGGGCGGGAAGGGCCGGAGCCCACGAGCACACCTCACTGCTGTCCCCGCACCCCCCGTGTGCTGCCCCAGCGTGCCATCGCCGTCTGTCTGTTTCAAAATTGATCCAGGGCTTAAAACAGGCCATCCTGCCACGACCTTGCTTTACGCTTGACCTTAGCAATGGCGCTCCCACGCGCGGTCAGGTGCTCAGGAGCAGGCGCTGGGAGGACGCGGCACACGGGCTTCATTCCGCCCCTCAGCGTGCCTGCTTCCTGGTGGCTGTGTGACGGGGCTTCAGCCCAGAGGGAGAGGGGAAGAGCTGGGCGACCCGCTGGCGTGGCTGCTTTGGGCCCAGGAGGCGGCCCTGGGGATGCGTGCAGCCCGGTAGGCGCCGCGGTGGGGGCTGGCGGCCGGCGCCCTCCCACCTCGGGAGGGCCTGGCATACAGACCCCCGCCCCCAGCAGAAGGACCCCAGGGACGGGCGAGGCGGGTGAGGAGACTGGAGCCTGTGCGTGGCTGCCCCCCCGCCCGCCCCCGGGGCCTTGGGTGTCGCTGCACAGAAGAGGCACCGAGGAAACGCTCATGGGGGAAAGAGGAAAGGTATCTCCGGTGCGGAAGGGGTCGGGTGACTTTTCATTAGTAAAATGGAAGCCCCCCCATATTTTGCCCAACATCCTGGCGATTTGGTGTCTTCCTCGCCGCCAGACTTTCACAGCACCTGCAGGGCCCCTAGGTTTTATATGGTAACAAAGAGTTCAATCCGTGCAGGAGATGCTATTCTTCACGCACTCAGCACGAGGCCATACACTTTGGAAAAGGAGGATTTTCCTAATGGAAAAAAGTCGGTGTTCCCTTGAGCACGTCCCGCAGGGCACAGGGCCTGTGTGTGCGTCTTCTGTCGCCGGGGAGCCTGGAGGAGCCTGGCTGTGTTCACACCTGTTGACTCACGAGGGGACAGGGCCTCCGTGAGGTCTTGCCGCCGGACCAAGGCCACAAGGCCGTTCGCAAGAGGTCAGGGTCGAGCCCAGAGGCCAGTGAGGCTGCAGGCACAGCGTCCTGCCGACGGGGGGGGGGGGGGGGGGGGGGCAGATGGGCTGGGGGAGCGAGCGGGCGAGGCCACAAGAGTGAGGCTGCCCTGCTGCCCCCGCCCTCCCTGCGGCCCCAGAGGAAAGGCTCCCAGCTTCTCCTGGGCACCCCACACGGAGGCCTCCAGCCCAGGACAGCCCCCGCGGCTCCCGCATCAGTCTGCGACTCCTCAGCCTTGGAGGGATCCCAGCTCTGCCCCTCCCAGCTGTGTGGTTCCGGACAGGCTCTCTAGCCTCAGTTTCCTCACCTGTGAAATGGGGCGAGCCCACCCCGAGGGGCACGGTGAGCTCTCTGTGAGGTGTTGCCCACACTGACACCAGACCCATCATGAGCCCTCAGCGACGGGGCTGGCACCATCACCCTGTGGCTGCTGCGGGGCGGGACGGCCGGGCACCCGGGGCAGTAGCCTTTCCGGTGTCACACAGCAGGCCTGCAGGGTGGCGCGAACAACAGAGGAGGCAGGAGAGCCGCAGGGAAGTCCCCCGCCCTTGGGAGCCCAGGGAAGGGTGATTCCCGCGTGACAGGAGGCAGGGGCTGCAGCTGGGCCCGGAGCCGGCTGGGAGGCTCGCTGGTATTCCGGCTTCTAAAACATTTTGTTTTCAAATAACTGCAAATCAAAATTGTAACAACAAAGCCTGTGAAAAAGAAACCATGGCCACCTGTACTCTGTCCTGTGAGACCCGATGGTTGGGGCTGCTGCACGTGCCATGCTGGGCACCCTTGTTAAGCACTTGTGCTGGACATTTTATCATTAGGCTTCCCCCACGTCATGAAAAATGTCAAACCTCCCAGCAAAGGGACAGGCCCAGGGCCACCTGAGTGCTCCCCGACCCCGCCCACTGCGCACCTGTCCCTGGCGGCCTGTGGAACACTCAGGAACCCGAGTCTCTCCTTGAGCGCCGGGGCCGAGGCTGAGCTGCCGTGGGTGGCAGAAGGCGTTTCTCCTCACCCGAACCACAGTGAGAACCCAAGGCTGAGCTTGCCCATAACCAGTGTCGGGCTCTCTCTGCAGATTCTCTGGCTCAGAGCATTTCTGATTCTGGTTTGTTTAAAGGAGAAAGCAGCAGCGAACATCCCAGGAAGCAAACGTTGAACCCTATTCTGATCGGTCCTCTCAGATCAATAGCAGAAGCCCCGTCAGGTGTCCAGGCATGGGGGCTCCCTGGAGGCGGTGACCCCTTGCCGCACACAGGGGTTGGAGCCCAGTGGACCCTCCCCTCCTGGGAGGAGCACTGCACACCCTGAGCCAGGCGCTCCCACCTGTGCCTCGGGGAGCAGCTGTGCCAAGACCACGTCCAGCCTCACAGTGAAACCACCAGGCAGGGAGGTGCTTCGGCCAGGGCGCGACCCAGCCTGCCCCTCCGGGCCGCGTGACCTCCTAGCCTTTTCCTGGAGCTGGTGAGGCTTACCTGGGGCGGGGCTTCTGGCTTCCCTGACACGGGAGAGCAGCGACCCCGGGGACATCGGTGCTTGGCAGGTACCTCTGGGGAGAAAGCTGTGGGAGGCACGGCCAGCGGGCCCTCTGGCAGCCCCGCCGGAGCCCTCCCTGGGAGTGCGACCCCAGCCCCGTGGGGGCAGGCCCACCGGGCCAGGTGCACGTGGGCAGGACCCTCCCCACCTTGTGCCCAGCGGAGCCCCAAGTCCCGGGGTGTCCTGGGCTTGGCTCTGGGGCTCCCCCATCTAAATGGCACACACACTCAGGCCCTAAACTAAAATGTCGCAGGCCTGCTGAGGAGGCTCAGGTTTCCCGGACGCAGAACGTGAGGCTGCTTGATAAAACGATTTTGGTGTTGATACATGTGGACTTTCTGTGGCAGAGACAAAGGCGCCCTTGAGTCCAGAGGGGAACCTAAAACGGCACATTGCTGAAAAGTATTTCCTGATAATATTTTTAGCACCTGAAAAAAAAACATTTTTTCCTCTTTTTTGCTGCCTGTGGAGGTGTGTGTGTGTGTGTGTGTGTGTGTGTGTGTGTGAAATGTAATGCCCAGCAGTGGTGGGGCCTCGTGTTAACCCCCAGTCTCCCAGACCAGGCTGCAAATAGGCAGCAAGGCCTGGGCCCTGGGGAAGCACGGCCTCACTGGGGGCTGCGACCCAAGAGTCTGCGTGCGGCTGGCTTCAGGCTAGACCCACAAGCACCTGCTCCAGGGGTGGGGCCTGGGCCTGAGCTTCTCACAAAGCCACCCAGGGGACTCGGCTGAGTGCGCTGGTTGGGACCCCCGTCTAGGCCAACCACTCCCACCACGTCTGGAGAAACAGCCCTTCTCTGGGGCAGCCCTCATCCCCACGGGCCGCCAGGCGGACCCAAAGCCTAGCTGCCGCGGGCCTTTCCCAGGGCCCCCGGGGCATGGGCTCAGGGAAGGTCAGCAGAGCTGAAGAGGGGCGAGCGGGAATGTGCACAGTGTGGCACGTGGGAGTGTGTGCACACCTGTGTGTGTGTCAGTGGGGATGTGCATGTGTGAGCCGATGGGAGCAAGAGGGGGCATGCCCCCCGGGGTTCCCGCTGAGGTGCTGGGTGGATGGGCTTCTGCTCCCAGCGCGGCCCCTGTAATTAGATGTCTTCTCTGACCTCTTCCTCCAAAGACGGGAGGCCTTGACCTTTCTCATCCTTCACTGGAGCCACACAGTTGCCCTGGCGTCTGAGGGCGTCTGAGGCTCTCCGGGGCGGCCTTCCCACAGCTGAGCCCCGGGCAACCAGACAGAAGTTGAAGGGGAAGCTGCCCCCGGGCTGGTGCCCCACAGGGCCTGCCCCGCTGAACGCTGGGGCCGCGGGTACGAGCAAGACGGTGTCTGTGTAAGCCTGTAGCCCCCAAGTTGGTCACACTCGGAGGACCTTTCCACTACTTCTTAAAAGTCACATTTACTATTTCTTGCCGACCACAGAATAACACCTGCTCACTGAAGCCGTTTTGGGACACGCAGGAAAAACACAGAGCCCAATGTAGAGGCGCCCAAAAACTCAGCGACACCTGCTGCTATTGTCCGCTGCTTCTCTGGTGGGTGCCCGGCTGTCTCCCGGGGCCCCGGCCGGGCCTGCACTCACACATCCCCTAACACCAGGATTCTGAGAGCAAGGGGCTGGGGGAGGGGCTCAGCTCCCGGGGTCGGGCCCCACACAGGCCCCGGGAGGGACCAGGTGTGAGGTCAGTGGTCCCAGAGGCAGGAGAAGGGCCGGGATGGCCACAAGCGGGGGTTACAGAATCTGAACTGTGGGCTGTGGAGGTCCTACTGCGACCGCCAGGCCCCCTAACATCCACCCACTTGCCCTCAGGCCCGCAAGGACCAGCCCTCCGTCACCTAGAGGCCCCCACCCCGGGGTCTGCGGAGCTTCTCTTGCTGTGAGGCTCCCTTAGGGTCCTGAACCCATCGGGAAACCTCCCGCGGTTTCTCCCGACGCCAGTATGCAAACACCTGTTTGGTGGCCTGAACTCCCCCCGGCCAGGGGTCCTCACATAAAACCAGACCAGGAGCTCGCCCCCCCCCACAAGTGTCCACAGGCTCAGAGCTTGGGGAGCAACATGGGGCTGGCCCCTGGCCGCTTCCAAAAGGGCGCCCAGGCACTGCTAAGCCCGGTGGCCCCCACTGGAGACACCGCGGTAAAGCAGCGACCCAAGCCCAACGGCTCAGGCAGGCAGGCCTGAGGGTCCGTCCCAGAGCTGCTGTGTGTGCAAGGCGCCTCCTCGGGGCTCCTGGGCTCCTGGAAACCCGCGCAGGAGGAGGACGGTCCCCGCGGCAGAGGCGCGCGCCAAGTGCTCGCCTCCCCAGAACCTGGGCCCGGAGCTCGCCCCCGCCAGCGCGGGCCGCCCCAGGCGCGCGGCGAGCGCCCTCGTGCTCCCGCGGGGCCTGGCGCTTTAAGAGAGGCCTTATTTGCATGGCCCCGCCCAGGCCCCGCCCAAGGCCGGTGACCGCCCGGTTGGGTATTTAAACCGCGGCCCCTGGGGCGGGGCTGGCCCTGAACGCGGTCCCGCCCGGCGCCTTCCTTCGCGGAGGGGCGACCCGAGCGCCGCCCGGCCGAGCGCGCCGCATCTCCCCGACGGCCGCGCTTCCCGCACCGCCCCCGGCCCCGCCGGCTCCTGCCCCGCACGGACCGCGGGGCCCTCGGTCCCCGCTCGGTCCCCGCTGCGTCCGGCTCGGTCCCCGCTGCGTCCGGCTCGGTCCCCGCTCGGTCCCCGCTGCGTCCCCGCTCGGTCCCCGCTGTGCGCTGCTGCGTCCCGCCCGCCGATCCCGGCGATGCTGCGCGGCGCCGCCCGGGCGCTGCTCCTGGCCGCGGCCCTGGGGCTCGGGGTGCGCGGGGTGCGCGGCGCGGTGGCCCTCGCCGACTTCTACCCGTTCGGCGCGGAGCACGGCGACGCTGTCACCCCCAAGCAGGACGACGGCGGCTCGGGGCTGCGGCCGCTCTCCGTGCCCTTCCCGTTCTTCGGCGCCGAGCACTCCGGACTCTACGTGAGTAACCTCGAGGCGCGGGGGCGCCCGGGGCGGGCGCTGCGCCCCCGCCGCTGTCCGCCGCCCCGACTCGCGCCGCCGCCGCCAGCAACTTGGCACCGCGGCGGCCAGAGGTGGAATGAGGACAGCGCTTCCTCCCTGCGGCGGCCAAGGCCGGACAGAGGCCCGCGGAGAGGCGGGCGGGGGCGGGGGGGGGGCGCGGTTCGAGCTGCAGCCCGGCCACCTGGGCGAGTGGAGCGCCCCGGGCTCGGGCAGCGTGCGCGCCCCGCGTCTGCCCAGCCCCCGGCTCGTTCACCAACTGCAGTGTGATGGCAGCTAGGTGCTTCCGGGGGCCTCAGTCTCCTGAGGGGGGCACCTGCCCTGCTCAGTTCCTCACCTGGCCTGCAAGTACCCCCTTGGGCCCCCTAGGCCCCGCCTATGCCCCCCCTCTCACCCCGCCCCGCGTTGACGCCCACTGGCTGGAGGCTGGGACCCCTGGCCAGGTGGTCAGGGCAGGGCCTGCTCTCTGTAGACCCCCGCGGGGCGAGGCCGCAGCTGGGGTGGTGTCCCCTCTGAGCCCTTCTCTCCCTTTCTCCCTTCCTGCTGAGTCCCGGAGGGGCTCACTCAGGCCTGTGTCTCCTGAACAGGACTCCCAGGGGGAGCTCCGGGGTCAGGCACTCAGGACAGCGGGAGTCCTCAGGGCCCAGTGCGGGTCTGTGTCCGCTGCGCCCAGTGTGGGGGCCGTCTGTGGGCCACAGAGGGGTGGAACGCTGGGGCTCCTCCCGCACCGCACTGTGGGTGGGCCGCTGGGCACTGCCCCGGATGCAAGACTTGGGCGGGCCTGACGCTCGGTTACGTCTAACACCATCGCCCCAGCCACGACCTCAGCCACTTGCAGCCCCAGCCACTGCCACTGCCACCACCTGTCCCGCCGTCGACCCACACAAGCGCCAACCCCTGAGCCACCACCTCCCCGCACCACTGTCACCAGCTCCATCAGCCCCTCCGGCTGTGACCTACGCCCTCCCCGCCGCCTTCAGGGCCACATGCACCACCACTCCCATCTTTTGCACTGTCGACATCCTCACCCGCACTGTGCGAGTGGCCACCACAACCCCTCCACCACTGAGGCCACCTCCACGCGCTCCCTCCCCCGGCCCAGGCAGGAAGGCTTCCGTGCCTTGGCAGCAGCGTTTGGTGACATGACAGTGGTAGGAGGGGACAACCGTCCTCTCCGTAGGCCAGGGCTGAGTTCCAGAAGCATGTGCTGGGCCTGCAGGGGCCTGTGAGGCCCCTGCCGCTTAGAAATGGGGAAAGTCACATTGGCACCATTGGAACAGGGTGCTGTCAGAATGTTCCTCGAGCACCTGGGCCAGGCTCAGCTTCCCCATCACAGTCATGGGTGAAAATATTATTAAAATGATTGACCCTCTTAATAGCTTCACCAAAAACATCTACTCTTACCAAAACAACTGGGAGAAGCCATTCTAAAGTGGGAAGATCTACTAGGAAAACAAACGGCTTCATCAGGAATGAATATTATGGCCACTAACAAAACATGTATCTCCATAAGAGCTTTTTCCTGAAACAAATATCGGAAAAACAATTGCCCATGTGGACACAGCAGCCACGCTGTGCCTTCTCTTTCTTCAGTGAGGAAGGCCACGGAATTCCTGAGGGTGCAAAGCCCGGACAGCTTGCCTGGCGGTACCGGGAGGGTGCGGTGGCCCAGCAGGAGGCGCGGTGGGTGCGGCGCAGGCCACAGTGAAAGCTGATAGAAGGGCAGGCTTTTATCCCAAAGCAGGTGATCCGGCCGGTGCCTCCCTTGCCCGCCTGCTGGCTACGCCTGGAGCATCAGAGGGCAGATGGGGAAACTGAGGCTCAGAATGCAGACTCAGGGGCCTTTACCACCCTGTCCAGCTGCCCCCTTCCCATTCCATCCCACACTTAGTGGGACCCAGACAGAGGTCTGCTTCCTCCCTAGGACCACCGTCGCCTTTTGATGCCTCCCCCCTTTCCCTTGTCCCCTATTTGTCGGAAGCTTAGAAATACATCCTACTCCTCAGCACCTGCAAGGTCGCGGCCCTGGGCCGGGCCACCGTTCCCACCGCCTGAAAGCATGTAGGCACCTCCTCGCTGGCCCTGTCCCCCTGTCCTGCCCCTTGAGCCCGTCCAGAGGGCAGCTGAAGGAGCACTGCCAAACGTGAACGAGATCCTGGCTCTCCTCGCAGCCCTTACGCGCCCCTGTCCCTGAGGCTGGGTGGTCTGGCCCCTCGTCCCCACCACACCCTCCAGCTCTGCCCCTGTGCTCACCCCTGACCCGCCCTGGGTTGTTCCCATGTGGTGGCTGCTCCTGCACGTGGACGTGTGCCCTGCGAGCCGTGTAGGTGTGGCCTCACAGTACATATCCCTGCGTTTATATCTTATGACAGGTGGCTGTGGACATAGGCCCTTGCACATGTGCGTATGCGCACAGCTCACTCATTCCCTGGCTCTGTCGGCACCCCGTGGCAGCAAGCACTCCGAGTGCCCGGGTCTGGGCTGCCAAACCTCAGTCTCCCTGGAGGGAGCCGGGGCTCTGGGAGATGATGGGGCCCTGGCGGGGAGGGTGCAAAGTGAGCCGGAAATCAGTCACACACAGGAGTACGAAGTGCTCCAAGAATGTGTGCGTGTGTCCCGAGGACACAGAGGCATCAAACGGGCTCCCTGGCCACATCCGGGCAATCTGGCTGTTGATATAATGGTAGTGATAGGTTTTAACCCATCGGATAAAGGGGGAGCCAGTGAGCTCACGCTGGTAAAAGTAAATAAATGATTAAATGTGTAAATGGGGGAAAGTAGTGTGGACGGCGGCACGTCTGTCTTTAGCTCCGTGGCCTGGCTCCTGTGTGTGTGCTCAGAGCAGAGCGCATTCTTGTAGGAAACACTGCACAGAGACAGACGGACAGACAGACAGAGGCGGGGAGAGCAAGCGCACGGGGCACATCCGAGCAGCAGGAGCGTGTGGATGCTCCTGGCTGTGCTCCCGCAGCAATGCTGTCAGCCTGACTTTAGATCAAAACTGAGCGAATGCCTCCTGGTGAGAACGCCCTCAGTCCGTGCCCAGAGCACCTGGCCACGCCCCGGGCCACCCCTACTGGGAGGCAAGCCTGGCCACCTGGGAATGAGCCTGGGAATGGTCCCCGCTTTTAGCTCTTGGTGACTGTATGAAGCCACAACTTTGGAGCTAGAAGTAACCAGCTCGCCAAACCTGTCCTTCCCGACACCTCACCATAGACTTGTTCCTTCCTTCCTTCATTCATCCGCTCATTCATTCGTTCCAAAACCTCAACTGAGCCCTTGCTCGGGATCAAGGAGCCCAGATGCACTAGCAGCAGTGTTTTGGGTTTAGTATTAAGGTCATCTTTGTCTGTTTTGTTCACTGTGTTATCCCAGCTTCCGGAAGAGAGCTAGCTCCTAGAAGCTGCTAGGTCAGTGTTGTTCATCTTCTGATCTGTGGGATGATACACACATAATCCCACCATCCAAAAGTAAGCACTTTGGGCATTCAGGTGAAATTCTCCTTGAACCGTTTGCAAGCACACTTAGGGTCCTACGAGACAAGCCTGGGGCTGCCGTTTCATACAAGTTTGTTTTCCATATTTCTCTCCATACATTGGGCTATGAGCGCTTGTCGTGCCTGACATCTACAGAAACGTGCTTTAGGTGACACTGTAAAGCTCCTTCCTGTGGCTGTATCATAATTATGCACACTGGCTGCTCTGTTGACTGTTGACCCTGTGGCTGGTCTCAGTGCCTCCCACGAATCGATGGTGCTCTGGCGTGCGGACCGACACACGACCTTATACGGGTCTCTCTTCCTCTCCTTACAAGTCCCCCCCAGTGGGCTGACTGCATCTGAAGGAATGTCTCCGGCTGTCCCTGGCCACCCCGAAGGGCATCCTCATCAACACCTCCCTCTGCTGGGGCAGGTGGCCACCTTACCCGGCCTGGGTCAGCCTGGGACGGCCGTCGGGAGCTGTGTGCGCCCGCAGGGCAGGGCCCCCATGGGCGGCACTGCCGGTCACCGGGGGGGGCATGGTAGAAATGTCAATCCGGGCCCCTCCCAGAGGCCTGATTCCAGAGGCTTGCGTGGGCCTCAGACGCAGCATTTGCCCAGGGGGTCCTGGTGCCTGTCCAGAGCTCCATGTGAGAAACGTGGCTGCCCTCCTGCCCACGGGTGGCCCTGACACCCTCACCCTGCAGGCTCGGGTGTTCGCCACCTCTCATTTACTGGTGCGGAGCCGGCGAGGACAAGCTGCCTCAACGGGGCCCTAGGCACGGGAGCTCCTTGTGATGGTGATGGGGGTGGGGCGGTGAGCAGGCTCAAGGACAGAACAATCTGGAAGAGCGAGAGCCCCAGGGATTCTACTCCTATGGCTCTGTGAGCAGGCAGCTGGGTGAGGGCGCCCAGCTGGTTTCTCCCCATACCTGGTCTCCAGGGAGGCCCAGCCTCAGGGCCTCAACATCCAAAAACTGGTTCTTTACAAAGTGAGGCAAGTCATCCATTCAACACCTACTGCGTGCTTAGCCACTGCGCTGCTCCCCAGGCCGAAGACTCAAAAGGCACAGAAGTCTGAGCTGCAGGGGCTGAGTGCGGGAAGGAGAGTGAGAACAGGACACGGTCCAGGCTCGGGTCCCTGTGCCCAGCCCCTCCACACAGCGGGGCAGCCCAGGACCACACCGTCCCCTGAGCTGGCCTCGGGGTGCACCAAAGCCAAACAGCCCCTTAGGGTCTTGCAGGCTACTCTGGGCAGAGGGCACAGGCCCAGGCAGCTGCAGAAGCGTGCTGGAGATGGGGCCTGGAGTCCCCAGAAGTGAGACTGGCAGGGTGAGGGGGGTGCAGGGACGCCCCAGGTCTGCACTTGGAGCGCATCTCCAGCTGTGGTGGCTACAGGACGGCAGTGGACCCCACGGTGCTCATAGAGATGCGGGGTGGCCCGGGGGTTCAGGGCATCTGAAGGAGAGCACTTGTATCTGAG